CAGACACCGGTAATGCGCGAACTGCGGTTGTCAGATAACATTCTGCGTGGTTCTTCGTATGCGCTTCTGGGTCATGTCGTTGTGATACCAGGCTGCATATGGTATTTAGCGGGACATCAGCCAATTTTAGCTGGTCGAACCAATCTAAACCAAGTAAATTTAGATCAGCTGGCGTTATATAGCATACCCCAGTAAACGACGAATCCCGGAAAGCAACTTTACATTCCAATTGTCCTAACAGACGAAGATAATTACCACATGCTGTGCGAGGCTTTTGTGTTGTGTGCTGCAGGCTTGGGCTGCCCAACTTGGTCCAATTTTTGCGTGAGAGGATAGTGACATCAGATGCAGTATCTATTTGCATTCTGTTGATGAACTTTGGCAGGAAGATATTAGGCTCAATGCATTGGTACTGGATCTAGGAAGAGGCTTCTTAACACTTCTGGATCGCTTTGGCTTTTTCTGTAGGCAAAAGCCATCTTTATGACCGATGACTTCCTGCATCTATGCTGCCTAAATGGGCAGTTCCGTACATAGTGCCATGAACCGCAGTGCCAGCAAGCAGAAGGTGGATTCATTTTGGGTTTTTGGGCCGAATTGGAGCGGGGTGAACTGGGTGTAGCATGGGCAGACTTATAATGATTAGGTGGCTGCTGTACCAAATGAATTTCAGATCGGCTTGAACTACCACTCTGAACTATAGTCGAGTCTCGTTGTAGGTCAGTGAGACGTTGGTACTCATGAGCCATATCATTAAGCGTAAGCTTTGGATCTTGCTCCAACCGACTTAGTAGCCTTGTTCTAATGTCACTGAACTTACTCGACTGGAGGCTGCAGATGAGAATGAGGGCTTTGAACTGGTCTTCCGACAAAGACTTCAACCGAAAGCGTTCGCATTCACGGTTGACAATGCCCACGTGCGTAAGAAAATCATCATCTTCGTTCATAATAAGCTTCAAACATCGATAACGAGTATTAAATAGTGACGAGTTGTCTCCAAAGTGTTGGCTTAAAGTCTGAACAGTCTCAGAAAACGAACAATCTCGTGGGTTCAAATTCATTTGTTTCATTAACAGCTCCAACATACGTTCCTGGAACTGTTCATATCGTTTACCTTGACGTTCCAGTAAAGATTCTAACTGTTCAAGGTTAATTGACATTGTGAATTGTGAGCCCCGTCGCCACTGATATGTTTTGTGGATATGGTTTTTACCCCGTCGCCACTGATATGTTTTGTGGATATGGTTTTTACCCCGTCGCCACTGATATGTTCGGCACTTAGGATGCTTGAGGCTATTACGAGTTTACCTTAGTCGATAAACGCGAACGAGACTTTTACCAGCTTCCAGGAAGGCTACCCTGAATCCAAACGGGAAAACAGAAGTCTTGGTAAGAGTAGAAAGTATATTCTACAAGCACCCAGCAATCCAGTACAATCAAGCATACAACTCTCGTTTATTTATACAACATAACAACGTCCTTGAGACAGTTAAGAAAATAGCATACTAAAATACACAGCAGCCAATCACAGCCATTGATTTTCCTGGTGGGAGTTGAAATCTCAAGGTCATTTGATCAGCCCCTGCTGGCGAACGTGAAAACCGAAATACGGCATTATCAAGCGAATTTTGGGGATCTAACATCCCCAACACAACCAATTCAAAAAGGACAAAATTCTAGGATAAAACGTCTCTGTATTAGTTAGAAAATGGAAATACAAAGCCTTACGGAAATTGTGCTTCTTCCAGGGTTAAGTTACTCCGCAGAGTATCCGACACAATAACCAATAAGTGACGCTAAGTCCAGCAGCCACTGCGTCCGTCCAAAAATGTGGCCGTAGCCATATTATATCAAATTTAAACAACATATGTACAGTTCAGAAGCAAACACAAAAACTTCAATATAAGTACAAAATATAGAAAGAATAACAATATACAATGATAAAATCTCAAATTGGAATCAAATAAAGTACCAAAAATGTCAAAAGAAAAAGTCCGTCATATCATAGCAAAAATATGTAAACATGGAGGGATTTTCCGAAACACAAAACATTCAAAAAGAATTCTACAACGATCGAGTCGAGATTGAATATGATCGCCAGAGGAGAAGAGTTAATCCATAGGGAGGAATATATTTGCTGGTGATTTCGTGGTACCGAAAAAATACCCAAACTGAGCCAGAAAAGTGGCAGTGAAGCCAAAATGGCAGCAACGCAAACAGAAATTTCGAACGTACGAAGTGCAATAAACAAAAACTGCAGTTAAACAATCACTGGTACGGTTGGTTATAATTATGAATATTTCTGTTGAACCAATCGCGTTCTCTTCATAAAAGTGGATCCACTACAGCACCCCGTCGCTAGAAAGGGTACACACTTTTCACACTTCGCGGTTGCATTCGGGGGACTGATAGGCGAGCGTGCGATTGCAGCACGGAAGGGTTGACGGACAGGAAGCGATTGATGATGCTGGAGTTGTAACCGGAGGTCTTTTGTGGCAAACCGCACCAGACGTAACGTGCTATGTTTGCTGCTCGAGTTAGCGTAAAACAAACCAGCGTGGCTCGTATCCAGAATCTGAATATTGCGTTCATAGCAGGATGGAACCAGATTGAGCAAAGGAGCTAGAAACGTCCATAACGACCATGTTCGAGACCGTACGTGTGAGAGACATATTCGGAACCGAAACGTCGTATGAGTGCATTGACAAGGGCATGGGGGTTTTCAGGTCAGCTTTCGCCAAGGTCGACTAAAGTCGACGGTACCGACTGGGCGATGGTCGAAGGCGTGTGTTCAGGTTAGAAATATCGAAAAAGGTGACAGGTGTAGCATGCATATAGCATGAGGATAAAGCCCTGTACCGTATCCGCTGTTGGTTGAGGGATTAGTCGCAAAAGAGTACAGGTAGGCTTACTCGGCAACCAGAACGTGAGACGGCAGTCTCGTGCGTACCTCATGAGCCTGCAACATCATCCTAAGGGCAGCATGGTCTGCTGATCAAAATGTGAGACTGGAGTCTCATTCGTGCAGACGACGTATGCTGTTGACTTGGATGTGAGGAGGTCTCTGATGTATCTAGCGTGGGATCCGAAGGAGAAATAGGGATCCTGCTAGTGAGTTGGACGGGTCTGGAATTCAATCTCGACTTATAGGGTAGGGCACTGTCAGCGACGAGTGCTGATTTCCGACAATCAACGCTGACTGTGTCCATCAACCTTGAAGTTCTTTTCGTGACGAGAGATCACGTGATAAGATCTTTCGGAAGGCTGCTGCAAAGGTTTGAGTACCGAATCTCCTCGTATGAAAACGTAAAGACAGGTAAATTGCTCTCGTAAAATAGTGACCTGACGATGCTTATTCGAGTGGATACCGAAGGCAGTGTTCACATGTACACAAATAGTCGTTGGACGTTAAATGAAATATATAAAATCTTTGATCCTTGGTGTGAAAAATTCCTCGGGCAGATGCAATGTCATGCCGTATACAAGTTTAGAGGCGGAACACTGAATATCTGCCGTTACTGCTCTTCAATCGCCGCATGGTTTCCAACTAATGACATCTTTATGGCGAACAAAGTGGTAAGGGGATGCCAAAGGACTGTGGGAAAGGCGAAGTAATGCATTCAGCGGGTAAAATGTCCAACTCACGCCTAGCGAAAACCATTTTATCCAGTGCCAGTCGGCGAGGTTTTACGGTGACTGGGGGTTCGTGGGTGACGACCTTGCTTACCATATCATTGGTCACTGGTTGAATCTCCTCGGTTTAGTTACTTTGAGGAATTTATAAAATGCAAAATAAAATAAATAATCATACAAATAATATACCAGTGATTCGGTGCACATTTGTTGGAGCATTAAAACACTTTGATTTAATATTCGAGGAAGTATTGAGTAACTGCAGTCAGATCAACTAACAGAACACCTTTGCTATGACTATCAGAGGCCATAGAGACTTCTGTTTCTGACGAATTGAAGTTTTTTTCTCTGCTGATCGTCGGATATAGGGTTGAAAAATAAACCTTACGACGATAGACTCCAGCACTTAGGATTTTTCCCACTGAGTTACAGGAGGATCAGGTGTGATCTGATTATGGCACACAACAAACCATCCCAACGTGAGCATCTTACCGATGCATCACTACCACTCCCTTCAAGAGAATCCTCAAAAAATCGCATATTCAAGAGCGATTACTCAGGTTCGTGCGCACTTTTTCTCGTTAAGATTCGTAGCAACCTGGAACGCTATCTCCTACAACATCCTCAGTGGACAACTTTAAGAAGAGACTTGATAATCACGTACTCACATACGGATTATAATCTCCCTCTTGGACAAGCTGCTCATGATGCATATCTTGAGACCTGCTAGTTTTTATCAGTTCACTCAATTAATCTATCTCGCCTATTATCTCTGTTTCCTCCTCTTTGCTTACACTTCAGTTCTCCCTCGCAATCCTCACTACCAATTAATAAATTAAATCATCTATATAATACCTAGTTCTGAAATCTTATTCACATTGCAACTAAATTATCTCCCGTCTGGTATTGTGATAGCCGCTGTTATCCAGAAATCCTACTGTCCCGAAACAAACGTTTTCATTCAAATCCCGAGACATACAAACTCACAATCAACTGCCAACTCACGAGAATTAGACAGTCGAGTGGCTAGACCTCCATTCAACGGACACAACCAAACACCTGAAGACGTGCCGAAAGAAAAAGAGTCGAGCGCGAAGAAATCAATTGGTTTATACTAGCTCGTGGAAAAGATATTGGATATTGAAATGTGAAGGTCAGTGTAAATAACAAATTTTTTCAGTTTGTCGACCAATTGTAGTTTCTAAGATACTTTATAATAAGTTATGAATACAGTCAAAATTTTTAGATACACCCTATTCAGTGTAACCTTTCTACTTGTTTCCAGCTCATCAATGGCCTGGAAATCGAGTGGTAGCACTCACGCAGAACTCGTAAACAATTTATTCAGTAATTAGATTTTCTGTTTAATGCCTCGAAAAGAAAATCGAGTAATAGCATCGGAGCTTGTCAAAAGTACAATGCTCTCTGTGGATCGTGGGTACTTTTCGAAATCAAATCCTTACGAAGATCGACCATCGTCAATCGGCTATGCTGCGACTATCAGTGCTCCTCATATGGTAAGAATAAATGATTCAACCTGTACAGATGTTCTGTAATGTGGAAATTAAACCATGATAGCACATTTCACTTAGCATTGCTCTTCAGTAGAGTCAGTTAGTCCATAAATAAGATAAATCTGCGTCAGAAGATTATGATTTCTGATTGATATTTGATAGTTTTTTCTTGTCTAGATACTATCACTTCTTAGTAGACGTTAGTAATTTCGGTTATTCGTATTGAAAGATTGTGTTGAGTATGTCCTGTTGTAGGTTCTCTAAATCTAAAGTTATAGGGAATTCAGGAAGATTAGAAATTAAGCGAAGACAAAGAATGGATGCATCTGCGCCATTGCAAACAATTTTGAACCATGTCATTTAAAGTCTCAAATCACCGGTTACGTTTGTCTCGCGGACCTGAACCAGGTAGTCTACACGTACCAACTTGGCTCAGTCTAGTTGTCATTGACTTGAGGGATTTGTATCATGTTATTGTTCGACTGCCCTTGGCTTTCTTCCAGCGTATCCCTACATCAGACATCGTCGCCTATCAAAGTAGTCTGTGGATGAGCATATTTGACACATCCTATTTACCTCAACTGACGAAGGTTCACTACTTTTTCAATTGATTTGCCATCCTTACTTAGTACCCTATTCCTAACACCAGCGCTGCTTATGATTGAATACTAGTAGCCTACGAATATCCTCAGATATTACTGGCCATGTTTCGCATCCATATAGGAGGACAGAGCGAACTGATGTGCAGTACACTCGTCCTTTGGTTAGCAAACGAATGCCTAGTCTACGCCATAAGTGACGCAGGATGGCAAAAGCGAATGGAGCCTTCTGTATCCGTGCTGAGATTTCGTCAGTCACCAGGCCATCAGCACTGATGAGAATCCCTAGATAAGTGAGGTTGTCAACATACTCAACTACTTCACTCCGTATCACTAGTTCAGGTACCGACGATAGCCAATCCTGAAACAACACTTTACATTTCGAGGGAGAAAACCGCATCTTCAACATAGTTGCATTGTTACATAGAGTAGTCAGAAGACTGTATTTTTTCAGCGTCTTCACCGAACAGAACTATGTCATCGTTATATTTTAAGTAAATGAGTGAATCTCCTGGTAGGAGGTCTACTCCTGAAAGTTCAGACGAAGATAATGTTATATCTAGAAGCATGTCTATGACAAAATAAATAAGAATGGAGAAAGTGGATTGACACCAATTAAAGTAACCAATTCCGAAGACAGTTCGCCATAAGCTGTAACTCGAACTGTAGTGTTACAGCAGAAAGCTTGTATACGGTTAATGTACTTCTTTGGTACACCTTTTAATAACAGACACTGATACAGAACCTCACGATCAACGTGGTCAAATGCCGCCTGAGGATCGAGAAATACTACTATTGTGGGGCGTCTGAATGTGTCTATGTTCTAGGACCTGATGTAGTTTGAATATCTGGTCTTTACAGCCACGTTCAGGTCTGAAACCAGCCTGGTTTTCTCTAGTCTGCTCTTCACGAGCTTTTGTTAAACGTCAGAGTATTATTGAGACCAGTAATTTAGATACTATATTAGTTAGACTTATTCCTCTGTGATTGTAGACTGGGACAATCAGCGATTGAGACCAGTCAGATGGTATTACACCCAGTTCCCAGATTCTATCTTAGATCTCAGTCAATGTAACTGTTAAAACTGGACCACCATACTTAAAAATCACAGGAGTTAGTCTGTCAGCCCTGCTGCTCTCCCTCGCTTCAGATTTTCTATAGCTTTCTCAACTTCGTAAATACTTGGAGGACTTATCTCGATTTACCATTCAGGTCGACTGGAGATCGTGGGCGACCGGAGTGTGGCTGAAGGCCAGTTGAGCTGATCCCTAAAGTGTTCTGCCCGTCGATCCTGGATTGAGAATGAATAGCAGTCCCAACCTTTTCCGAGATAGTCTCACTCACATTCGGACTCCTAATACCGGTTTCCTTGATATCCGAAACAACTGTCTACTGTTGCCTATTGCCGCTGCCTTTTATATCACTTTTGCTTTCGCTACCCACCACTGTTCGCGATCATTTCGTAGGCTTTTGATCAGCCTGACTTCGCTCTTCGTCATGTTCACAGCCAGGTGGGATGAGTTTTCAAGCGTTTATCAGTTCGGTGGATGCTACTGAGATCCACGGCTTATCCCCAGCCTTATCGTTTACCTTACTTGCAGATATCACTGCTGTTTCCACAGCCTTTTGGATATCATTCCAAGGTGCCTCCGAGCGGGAATCACTTACATGACCACCTAACTGTTTTTCTAGTTGCTCCTGAAATATGTTCTTAGCTGTGCTATCATTAGAAAGGGCCGTAAAGGGTTTCCTTGCGCACAAGTGACTATCTACTGGCATCCAGTCCAGGATTCAATGCTATACCTACCCCAGTGAGACCGCGGGAACCGGCACCGGGGTTTCCACATACACGAAGCGTAAATCGAGACGGTTCTTTATTTTGACATGGTAAGGTCTAATAAATGACTGTACTCGTATCTTGTATGCGAGTCTCAGAGATGCAGCGTACATCGATTGCGTGATATTCTAAAGTTCTAGATGAGTAAGCTTATTGTTCTGTTCGGCACAAGTTCCTAATATTGAATGCTCCAACCTGTATTTTAGGGCGTGGTTTCGGTAGACCAGGAATTATGCTCCATGAACTGGGAACGTTTGCGTCAGTGGCGCGAGAAGAAGTAATGTGAGAAAGGCTGGTTGTCCGAGAGAAACACCTTACTGCCGTCAGACCTCTTTACAGTCAGCAGTACGACTTCGCCCTCAGACCTTGAGTAGCTGCTTTTAGTCCTACGGTTTTCCAATGGATCTGCCTTGTATGGTAGGATCTAGAAGAACATGTGTTCTGGTGAATATAGCATGATTCGGTCATCGCGATAGGCAGGACAGTTCACCACTTCATGGTATGTGTTACGGTTGGGCCGTTCTCTAGCTGGAATCTACATTATTAAAATGTTATTCCTTAATATACATTATCCACTCTTAGAATATCCGTCGGCTCATATGTGTATTAGATCAACGGATTTTCGCAACTGCTATTCAATCTGATTTTTATACGCCTGATCGAAGATTATATCAACTTATGTTGACCTGGTTAGCTTGTTATGCACACCCTTGCTTAGAAAGCTGTTATTCCTAATTTAAGCCTATAATCTATTTTTTGTGATTCGGCTTTTCTGTTTCATCGTTTTCGCAATTTGTTTGATGTATGTATTGGTGTCTTTCACATTCTTCGTTCTCTATAGGCAGGCTTATTATTTAACACTTCTACCATACATAGCACATGCAATTTACTACTCACGTTTTGGTAATCACTCGTGGATACTTCATTTTTCTAAAATCTAATATTATTATCTTAACCTAATAATTTTACATCTTCAGGGGGCAATAAATATGGGTTCTAAAAATAATTAATATGAGGTATCTTCACATTGTTACATTTTGACTTGTTCGCAGAAAACATAACAGAATTTATTCCTTGTAGACAATTATACTGTAAAAGATTTTCTTGAACCCAGCTATTTAGGTATTTCGTTTTTTGGTTTTGTTAATACAACATGAAGTTACTTGCATTTGCTAAGGCAGCCTGTTGACATTTGTCAACCTTAATATCTTACATCTTAGTACAAAAATCTGATGGTTTTAACGTTAAACATGATATTATATTTTAGCTTAAATTATTCATCACCTACACGTGTTGCATCTCATTTCTTCCTTAATGGTTTTCATGCCTTTAAAGAGTGTCAGATATTAGACTTCTTCATTTTCTTTTCAGAGTTTTAGCTAGATAAACTATTCCAAATTAAATCCTCAAGATATTGCCCTAACCCGTTTCCTCATCAGATTAGTATGGCTTCATTTTACCCTCTGGTTTTGATATAATTCAAACAGCCATTATATCCCCATTTTTATTTTTATTACACACCAACCCTCCTAAAATAAGATTATAGTGAGTTAACAGACGAGACCTGTTTTAAGGACTAATAACTGTCCTAAGAAATTAATGTTCACAAATATCTCATCGTTAAGATCAATATCTTTTAATGGAAAGAGACTTTTTGGCAAAGCACTTGTTTCTCAATCACTAAGTGTCTAGTTCGAATCCCCTTTCACTGTTGGGTAGCAAAATAATATCACAAGAAATTTATCATGGAACGGTTAGTTGGAATTATACTTGGTCCACTAGTTTGCATCCAATGAAATATTGAAGTGTTGAGATTTCTTAGTAAATTCTGGTTACTTCACAGACATTCATTTTCCCGAATTCGCAAATCTCTAGACTCGACCTGGTTAGTTTTGGATGATTTTAGAGACTTTGTATTAGATAATCTGTTAATCCTGAAAGTATAATTACTGCTTATTTATTTATCTAAACACATGAACATCAGTACAAAAGAACATTTAATTATTTATTTACCACACAAATCAATAAATTCGTGAGTGGGCTGGGATACTGCTCGATTGCCTAAACCAAGGCGGGTGGTTTACTTAGGGAGCCACTTCACAAGCCTTCTACACAAAGGTCTGATCTACAAAGCGGTGGAGCAACGTTAGGACACGCAGTCCTATGATAATCAACAATAGGTTCATATGCACTTTGCTCCTTCAGGATATTAGAGCTCATGTACACCAATGGTTTAGAATCACGGTTTTCCAGCTCACCTAGGTGGATTCGCTACACCCACCAACCCGATTTCGTAAATAACTACCGCCGAATAGGACTTCCTTGGTACTGGCTATTTGCGTAAGCTCATATGAGGACTCTCTCTACCCCCGGAGGTTTTGGCGCATCTGGGGGCCCTTGATTTTCACTAAGTATTCTTGCAGATTGCTCATCATTATTCTACTTTTTCGCAACTTCTGCTGTTATCGATTTCCTAACTATCTTTAGTTTTGTTTTACTGCTACTTACTTGAGTCAATACACTCTAGATTTTTTGCAGCTTATTTACTCTAAAACAAACAAGTCTAACTTCGGTTTATGATTTCTTTCCTGGTTTATACTCGTAACTTCAAACGAATTTTAGAGATCTGAGTCTATGGTATTTGGCACCATATATTTATAGACGCTTGCGTTAAAGTTCACTCTTCGATGACGGTATGCAGACTAATTGGTCGTCAAATGGTAATCATTGTGGGATTGTAGCTCTTCGTATTGATTTTACCGCATTGACCAAGATAACAGTCGTTAAGTTACTGAGCTTTGGAAATAACAATTTTAACACTTGGTAAATAACCTTATAAGTGATTTATTTGAAGCCCGATACACCACGACATCTACTTATGTGCAGTAAGAAGTAGGTGTCAAGTCAAGATATATTTCATCAAGTAATTGAAATTAAATACTACAAAATTGTATTACGTTAGGTTAATACATATGTTGTATACATTGGCCAATGAAATTTTGTTGACACAGAAAAACTTGACTATAACATAAGTTGTCACTTACATAGTTCACTACATTGTGTTTACTTATTGATTATAGCAATAACACCTCAACTGGTTGATTAAAAGCTTGGGTACTACTTCATCCAAAGAAGTTTGTTTAATCAGGGGGTATCATCTGCTTGTTCGGTCCCTACTTTTCATGACCTAATGATATATATGCACACGAGTTCTGATTCAAATTGTTATCTATTTACCTTCGTTGAACTGACATTGTACTGTCTTCTAATAGTTCAAAAGTTTTACTGTATATTTGTTTTTTTTTTTAAATACTCTAGCATGCTTATGCTCTAGAAGCATTAAGAGATCATCTTAAACCTGGTGCACATGCCTTAGACGTTGGATCTGGTAGTGGATATTTAACAGCTTGTATGGCTCTTATGGTAAGCTTGTTTCGTCCCATTGTGACACATTATCGTATCACAACATGTCATCGTGGTATTATTCAGTTAAAAAGTAAATATTATGTTTATGTATGTATGCCGTGAGTTTTTCTTTCGTTTCTCGATAATTTCACTCATATATCAGGCTCATGTTTATGTACTCGACTTTAAACGATATTTGTTGACTAGTTATACTATCTGGCTGTTCGTAATTAACTAGGTGGAATTGAGTTTGAACCGTCATCTCGATGATTTCAAATCGGATAGTTAAATCACCATGCCTCTCCGTTGCACATATTTATATGTGCAGGTACATGAAAAGTTGTGATATTTCCAAAACCTTTAGTATTATCAAAATACAATTACTTATTAATTATTATCTAAACAGTCAGTCAGCCATCTGCAACGTAGAACTTATTACGTACGTACATCAATTAAAGTTTCTATTCTAAATAAGCACAAAGAGAACAAATTGTCATTTTAAATCCTATAGTAATAGAGGCTATAGCAGCACTAGCGTTAATCAAAAAGATTACTTAAGAAGTATAATCCAGTGAAATAAGACACAGAAGGACATGCGGAATTCTAAAAATTAAAATTTAAAAGACAAAGAACGGATGCATGATTATGATTTCTGATTGATATTTAATAGTTTTTTCTTGTCTAGATACTATTATTTCTTACTAGACGTTAGTAATTTCGGTTATTCGTATTGAAAGATTGTGTTGAGTATGTCCTGTTGTAGGTTCTCTAAATCTAAGGTTATAGGGAATTCAGGAAGATTAGAAATTAAGCGAAGACAAAGAATGGATGCATCTGCGCCATTGCAAACAATTTTGAACCATGTCATTTAAAGTCTCAAATCACCGGTTACGTTTGTCTCGCGGACCTGAACCAGGTAGTCTACACGTACCAACTTGGCTCAGTCTAGTTGTCATTGACTTGAGGGATTTGTATCATGTTATTGTTCGACTGCCCTTGGCTTTCTTCCAGCGTATCCGTACATCAGACATCATCGCCTATCAAAGTAGTCTGTGGATGAGCATATTTGACACATCCTGTTTACCTGAACTGACGAAGGTTCACTACTTTTTCAATTGATTTGCCATCCTTACTTAGTACCCTATTCCTAACACCAGCGCTGCTTATGATTGAATACTAGTAGCCTACGAATATCCTCAGATATTACTGGCCATGTTTCGCATCCATATAGGAGGACAGAGCGAACTGATGTGCAGTACACTCGTCCTTTGGTTAGCAAACGAATGCCTAGTCTACGCCATAAGTGACGCAAGATGGCAAAAGCGAATGGAGCCTTCTGTATCCGTGCTGAGATTTCGCCAGTCACCAGGCCATCAGCACTGATGAGAATCCCTAGATAAGTGAGGTTGTCAACATACTCAACTACTTCACTCCGTATCACTAGTTCAGGTACCGACGATAGCCAATCCTGAAACAACACTTTACATTTCGAGGGAGAAAACCGCATCTTCAACATGGTTGCATTGTTACATAGAGTAGTCAGAAGACTGTATTTTTCCAGCGTCTTCACCGAATAGAACTATGTCATCGTTATATTCTAAGTGAATGAGTGAATCTCCTGGTAGGAGGTCTACTCCTGAAAGTTCAGACGAAGATAATGTTATATCTAGAAGCATGTCTATGACAAAATATAGAATAATGTGAAAAGTGGATATCCTTGTCGGACACCATTATCGTCGGTCGCCTAAATGTGTGCCTGTGTTCCAGGACCTCTCGTACTGTCAAGATGTGGTGTATACAGCCAGGTCCAGGTCGTAAACCAACCTGGTTTTCTCTGTTGTGTTCTTCACGAGCTGTAGTTAGGCGTCAGAGCCGACCACAGCTGCTACTCTGACGTGGTGAACTGTCCTGCCTATCGCGATAACCCAATCATGCTATATTCACCGAAACACATGTTCTTCTAGATCCTACCATACAAGGCAGATCCATTGGAAAACCGTAGGACTAAAAGCAGCTACTCAAGGTCTGAGGGCGAAGTCGTACTGCTGACTGTAAAGAGGTCTGACGGCAGTAAGGTGTTTCTCTCGGACAACCTGCATCTGCAACGATGCTACTTTCTCACAATTAAAGGAAGGGGTTAGAAAAGATCGACCCTCAGAATTTCAAACCTCATCTTATCCCACGGATTTCCATCTCCGGCAGTAATGCCTTCTGAAGAGCGGAGCTAACACTAAAAACTTCCTATAGAAAGGTCGTACGCGACTGGTCTCAATCAGTTGTCTCTTCGGCTCTGCGGTCTCGCTACCAGGTTGCTAACACCGACGCTAATCTAAATTCCTTTTCAGGTCCCTCAAGATATACCCATCCACAGTGTGGGCAGCCGTCAATTGACATCTGCCCTCAGTACAACAGACCAAATTAGTCACAATCAAATCCTTTCTACGCCTCTCAATATCTCTTTTATATCCACGACCAGCCTTTCTCACATTACTTCTTCTCGCGCCACTGACGCAAACGTTCCCAGTTCATGGAGCATAATTCCTGGTCTACCGAAACCACGCCCTAAAATACAGGTTGGAGCATTCAATATTAGGAACTTGTGCCGAACAGAACAATAAGCTTACTCATCTAGAACTTTAGAATATCACGCAATCGATGTACGCTGCATCTCTGAGACTCGCATACAAGATACGAGTACAGTCATTTATTAGACCTTACCATGTCAAAATAAAGAACCGTCTCGATTTACGCTTCGTGTATGTGGAAACCCCGGTGCCGGTTCCCGCGGTCTCACTGGGGTAGGTATAGCATTGAATCCTGGACTGGATGCCAGTAGATAGTCACTTGTGCGCAAGGAAACCCTTTACGGTCCTTTCTAATGATAGCACAGCTAAGAACATATTTCAGGAGCAACTAGAAAAACAGTTAGGTGGTCATGTAAGTGATTCCCGCTCGGAGGCACCTTGGAATGATATCCAAAAGGCTGTGGAAACAGCAGTGATATCTGCAAGTAAGGTAAACGATAAGGCTGGGGATAAGCCGTGGATCTCAGTAGCATCCACCGAACTGATAAACGCTTGAAAACTCATCCCACCTGGCTGTGAACATGACGAAGAGCGAAGTCAGGCTGATCAAAAGCCTACGAAATGATCGCGAACAGTGGTGGGTGGAGAAAGCAAAAGTGATATAAAAGGCAGCGGCAATAGGCAACAGTAAACAGTTGTTTCGGATATCAAGGAAACCGGTATTAGGAATCCGAATGTGAGTGAGACTATCTCGGAAAAGGTTGGGACTGCTATTCATTCTCAATCCAGGATCGACGGGCAGAACACTTTAGGGATCAGCTCAACTGGCCTTCAGCCACACTCCGGTCGCCCACGATCTCCAGTCGACCTGAATGGTAAATCGAGATAAGTCCTCCAAGTATTTACGAAGTTGAGAAAGCTATAGAAAATCTGAAGCGAGGGAGAGCAGCAGGGCTGACAGACTAACTCCTGTGATTTTTAAGTATGGTGGTCCAGTTTTAACAGTTACATTGACTGAGATCTAAGATAGAATCTGGGAACTGGGTGTAATACCATCTGACTGGTCTCAATCGCTGATTGTCCCAGTCTACAATCACAGAGGAATAAGTCTAACTAATATAGTATCTAAATTACTGGTCTCAATAATACTCTGACGTTTAACAAAAGCTCGTGAAGAGCAGACTAGAGAAAACCAGGCTGGTTTCAGACCTGAACGTGGCTGTAAAGACCAGATATTCAAACTACATCAGGTCCTAGAACATAGACACGTTCAGACGCCCCACAATAGTAGTTTTTCTCGATCCTCAGGCGGCATTTGACTCAGTGGATCGTGAGGTTCTGTGGCAGTCTGTCATTGAGAGGTGTACCAAAGAAGTACATTAACCGTATACAAGCTTTCTGCTGTAACACTACAGTTCGAGTTACAGCTTATGGCGAACTGTCTTCGGAATCGGTTACTTTAATTGGTGTCAATCCACTTTCTCCATTCTTATTTATTTTGTCATAGACATGCTTCTAGATATAACATTATCTTCGTCTGAACTTTCAGGAGTAGACCTCCTACCAGGAGATTCACTCATTTACTTAAAATATAACGATGACATAGTTCTGTTCGGTGAAGACGCTGAAAAAATACAGTCTTCTGACTACTCTATGTAACAATGCAACTATGTTGAAGATGCGGTTTTCCCCCTCGAAATGTAAAGTGTTGTTTCAGGATTGGCTATCGTCGGTACCTGAACTAGTGATACGGAGTGAAGTAGTTGAGTATGTTGACAACCTCACTTATCTAGGGATTCTCATCAGTGCTGATGGCCTGGTGACTGGCGAAATCTCAGCACGGATACAGAAGGCTCCATTCGCTTTTGCCATCTTGCGTCACTTATGGCGTAGGCTAGGCATTCGTTTTCTAACCAAAGGACGAGTGTACTGCACATCAGTTCGCTCTGTCCTCCTATATGGATGCGAAACATGGCCAGTAATATCTGAGGATATTCGTAGGCTACTAGTATTCAATCATAAGCAGCGCTGGTGTTAGGAATAGGGTACTAAGTAAGGATGTCAAATCAATTGATGAGGTTGTTAGGACATGTGTTTTGTACGCTAAACCACTGACTGCTTCGACGAGCCATGTTTTGTGTTGTAGGAGTAGGTTTGAAGAAATCTAGGGTCGGCCAAACCAAACCATGGCACAAATCAATGAAATCACTGACAAGTGGACTGAATCATGTTGGTAGATGTAGGCTACCTGGTTGGGGTCCGCGAGACGAAAGTCACCAATGGTTAGACACCTTGAACGACATGGCTCGAAATCGTTTTCATTGGCGCAAGTGCATCCACTCTTTGTGTCCTCTCTAATTCTAACCTACTGAATTCCTCATAATCTCTATCGTTCTCTTTCTAAATTTATCTCACTGAACTATATTTCTTGAGTTTTATCTTCGGACCCGAATGTTCTCCATTACCAGTGATACTTCTGCTACCGCTATCACTCTTGCATTTGAACTGACAGTCACGTCTCTGTACTGATGTGATATGGCAACTTGAACTGATCTACATACGTACGAAATTCTATGTTGTATCTGTCTGTCTGACTGACTGATTTTATTATTTTCGCACTACTTTAGTTCCGAACGTTTTTTACGAGTGTTAAATAATTACTTATGTTATAGCTGTTGGAGCTACAATACATACATATTCGTTTGTTTTACGTCCCCTAATTTCAACATTAAGGTTGGCCCTACGGGTGTTGCTGTAGGTATAGAACATATTGATGAGTTGACTAAATTTGCTCTTTCAAATGTTGAAAATTGGTTTAATCACAGTCAAAATGCTCAGTCATCGGGAATAAAGCTAGGGAAGCAGCTAAAACTTGTTACTGGCGATGGTCGTGAAGGATGGCCACCAGATGCACCTTATGATGCAATTCACGTGGGCGCTGCGGCTCCAGTTATCCCCAATGCAGTAAGTTCATACTTATTTGGTAACTCAAGCTTTATGAATATCAAAATTTCCTGGTTATGTTTCTAAATGCTTATGTGTTGTTTGCTTATATCAACTTGGATGTTATGTTATGAATAGTTCTGATCCTCTTAATTGACTGTTTCTTTCAGTTTGAAACATGAACGTACAATGATTACCTCAGTCTTTTAAACTGTAATTTAGCAGAGGCTGAATTTCTCTGTCTATAAAATATTTATGTCATTAAGTTATTACAACGTATTTCTCAGGATTTGAGTGATAACCACGATTAGTGGTTGGAGACTCTGAGTGACATGTCCCAGAATCTTTCACAGTTACTGTTAGGATATTCACCAAATATCCTAAGAATACTATTTATAGAAGTGCAATCTTATTGGTCGATTTCTATTGGCCGAAATTATGATCGTTCTTACCGTCAGGGTCAAATACTTCAATGTTACCTCTTATTGGTCATCTGGACGGTCAATGTCATTCAAATGTCCTTCTCTATTGGTCGTCCTAAATTGTCAATGTCACAGACGTTGATGCTTTTTCTTATTCGACCTTAGTGTATAAATACGCGCTATCTGGAAGACTTAATAATTCCGTTTCCCCTGCCTACTTCTTCTTCTGTTTTCGACCCAATAAACATCTTCCTTCCACGGTGTTACGTTCTGATTTCTAGGAGATTTGGGAAAGCCTTTTGGGTCGTATTGTGATATTTGAATTGGACGCCGTTAGGACTGAAGATTTACGTAGCCACGTTTACAACAAATTTGGCGACGGGTTGGTGACTAATTATGGATCCAGCTACATTAGAAAAATTGTTTGCACAGCAGCTGAAGCTGATGGAGATGCTTACTCAGACGCACATCTCTTCTCAAGTCTCATCTACACCAACAATTCCTCAGTCAGTTGATGGTATGACCAGTAGTATTTCTGAGTTTCTGTATGATCCTGACGCCAATATTACATTTGATACTTGGTTCATGCGTTATGAAGATCTTTTCAAAGTTGATTTTGCTGACAAAGATGATTCCTGGAAGGTGCGTCTTCTCCTTCGAAAACTTGGTCCGTCAGAACTGGACAAGTATCGCAACTTCATCCTACCGCAGAACCCGCGTGACCGATCATTCGATGCTACGGTTCAGTCCCTCAGCAAACTTTTTGGGGATCAGCATTCTATTTTCAATACACGTTATCGTTGTTTAAAACTAGTCATGAATGAGTCCGATGACTTCTTGACTCATGTTGGTATTGTCAACCGCGAGTGTGAACGGTTCAAACACAGATCCCTTACTGATGACCAATTCAAATCACTCATATTCATATGCAGTCTACAATCACCCAAATTCTCCGACATCAGAACTCGATTGCTTAACCGCCTCGAACAAGACCCAACACTGACACTCGATGCTATCGCTGATGAGTATCAACGCATCACCAACTTACAGTGTGACACCACTTTGGTTCAGTCTGGGAGCCAGAGTGGTTCCGAAGTTCACGTTGTTCAGCAGCAGAACAAATCTTCTAGATCGAAAAACTTTGGTCGTTCGAATGCCAGTTCTGTTTCTAATCACTCAAAATCAACGCATAAGAAGCCCCCCTCACCATGTTGGCACTGTGGAGACTGGCATTATGTGAAATTTTGTCCATTCAAGCAGCATGTGTGCAATCGCTGTCAGAAAATTGGTCATAAAAGCGGTTTTTGCCAATCAACCCGATTCACTGGCCGGCGAAATTCACAGTCGCAGCGCCGTTATCCCAGAAAGCCGTTTGCTGCATCTAGGAGTTTAGCAGCAGCCTTTCACACCGATGCTTCTACTCGACGCAAATTTCTGACCCTCTCGATCAATGGTCAGCTGGTTCGAATGCAGTTGGATACTGCATCAGATATCACTATTCTGTCAGAAGAGACTTGGCGAACCTTGGGTCAACCACGCATCAAACCATCATCGCAGATAGTTGTCAGTGCCTGTGGGGGTCACCTTCGTCTTCGTGGTAAACTTGATTGCTGTGTTTCGTTCAGAGATACAACCTTCAATGGAACATGCTATATCAACAAGTCTCCTCACAACCTTCTGGGGTTAGATTGGTTCGAAAAACTTGGTCTCGCTGATCTTCCCATCAATACTGTCTGCAATCAAGTAAAAACTCCTGCCGTTACACAACAGCATGCTGCAGATTTTCAAAAACGACTCACTGAACCGCTTCAGCCTGGTATCGGACTGCAGCCAGTTGCCATGCCTGAAGAAAATGTGATCTCAGATAACTTGTGTGACGTCACCATGCATGTCAAGTCCCAAGATAAAGCAAACTGGGGTGATGGAGAAAAACATGATACAATAAACAGAAAAAGATATTCACGTGACTCCATTCTTTCTTGTAAATCTTCAAGCGTCGAAGTGAAGCTAGTAAATGATAAGGATATCATGAAAAGCCTTTCAAATACCAAAAGACCTCGTGATCAACTAAGGCCAGGGGGAGATAAAGAGAAAGGTAAAATTACGAAGCGCCTCCCACTCTGTTTGCTGTTGGATACTTATCAAGTTCCGCCAATACCTCCACCAGAAACTATCGAGTCATCTACTCAAACAGAACATCCTACAGCTCCAGGGATTTTATCTCCGAGGTGGTCGAAACGCAAGCGAAGAAAATCAAGTAATTTCAAGTAAACCCTCGGCTGCGTCGCTGTTATTTTTCCTTTTTTTTTTCTTCCAGAGGGAGGTGTTAGGATATTCACCAAATATCCTAAGAATACTATTTTTAGAACTGCAATCCTATTGGTCGAATTCTATTGGCCGAAATTTTGATCGTTCTTACCGTCAGGGTCAAATACTTCAATGTTACCTCTTATTGGTCATCTGGACGGTCAATGTCATTCAAATGTCCTTTTCTATTGGTCGTCCTAAATTGTCAATGTCACGGACGTTGATGCTTTTTCTTATTCGACCTTAGTGTATAAATACGCGCTATCTGGAAGACTTAATAATTCCGTTTCCCCTGCCTACTTCTTCTTCTGTTTACGACCCAATAAACATCTTCCTGCCACGGTGTTACGTTCTGATTTCTAGGAGATTTGGGAAAGCCTTTTGGGTCGTATTGTGATATTTGAATTGGACGCCGTTAGGACTGAAGATTTACGTAGCCGCGTTTACAACAAATTTGGCGACGGGTTGGTGACTAAATATGGATCCAGCTACATTAGAAAAATTGTTTGCACAGCAGCTGAAGCTGATGGAGATGCTTACTCAGAAGCACATCTCTTCTCAAGTCTCATCTACACCAACAATTCCTCAGTCAGTTGATGGTATGACCAGTAGTATTTCTGAGTTTCTGTATGATCCTGACGCCAATATTACATTTGATACTTGGTTCATGCGTTATGAAGATCTTTTCAAAGTTGATTTTGCTGACAAAGATGATTCCTGGAAGGTGCGTCTTCTCCTTCGAAAACTTGGTCCGTCAGAACTGGACAAGTATCGCAACTTCATCCTACCGCAGAACCCGCGTGACCGATCATTCGATGCTACGGTTCAGTCCCTCAGCAAACTTTTTGGGGATCAGCATTCTATTTTCAATACACGTTATCGTTGTTTAAAACTAGTCATGAATGAGTCCGATGACTTCTTGACTCATGTTGGTATTGTCAACCGCGAGTGTGAACGGTTCAAACACAGATCCCTTACTGATGACCAATTCAAATCACTCATATTCATATGCAGTCTACAATCACCCAAATTCTCCGACATCAGAACTCGATTGCTTAACCGCCTCGAACAAGACCCAACACTGACACTCGATGCTATCGCTGATGAGTATCAACGCATCACCAACTTACAGTGTGACACCACTTTGGTTCAGTCTGGGAGCCAGAGTGGTTCCGAAGTTCACGTTGTTCAGCAGCAGAACAAATCTTCTAGATCGAAAAACTTTGGTCGTTCGAATGCCAGTTCTGTTTCTAATCACTCAAAATCAACGCATAAGAAGCCCCCCTCACCATGTTGGCACTGTGGAGACTGGCATTATGTGAAATTTTGTCCATTCAAGCAGCATGTGTGCAATCGCTGTCAGAAAATTGGTCATAAAAGCGGTTTTTGCCAATCAACCCGATTCACTGGCCGGCGAAATTCACAGTCGCAGCGCCGTTATCCCAGAAAGCCGTTTGCTGCAGCTAGGAGTTTAGCAGCAGTCTTCCACACCGATGCTTCTACTCGACGCAAATTTCTGACCCTCTCGATCAATGGTCAGCTGGTTCGAATGCAGTTGGATACTGCATCAGATATCACTATTCTGTCAGAAGAGACTTGGCGAACCTTGGGTCAACCACGCATCAAACCATCATCGCAGATAGTTGTCAGTGCCTGTGGGGGTCACCTACGTCTTCGCGGTAAACTTGATTGCTGTGTTTCGTTCAGAGGTACAACCTTCGATGGAACATGCTATATCAACAAGTCTCCTCACAACCTTCTGGGGTTAGATTGGTTCGAAAAACTTGGTCTCGCTGATCTTCCCATCAATACTGTCTGCAATCAAGTAAAAACTCCTGCCGTTACACAACAGCATGCTGCAGATTTTCAAAAACGACTCACTGAACCGCTTCAGCCTGGTATCGGACTGCAGCCAGTTGCCATGCCTGAAGAAAATGTGATCTCAGATAACTTGTGTGACGTCACCATGCATGTCAAGTCCCAAGATAAAGCAGACTGGGGTGATGGAGAAAAACATGATACAATAAACAGACAAAGATATTCACGTGACTCCATTCTTTCTTGTAAATCTTCAAGCGTCGAAGTGAAGCTAGTAAATGATAAGGATATCATGAAAAGCCTTCCAAATACCAAAAGACCTCGTGATCAACTAAGGCCAGGGGGAGATAAAGAGAAAGGTAAAATTACGAAGCGCCTCCCACTCTGTTTGCTGTTGGATACTTATCAAGTTCCGCCAATACCTCCACCAGAAACTATCGAGTCATCTACTCAAACAGAACATCCTACAGCTCCAGGGATTTTATCTCCGAGGTGGTCGAAACGCAAGCGAAGAAAATCAAATGATTTCAAGTAAACCCTCGGCTGCGTCGCTGTTATGTATTTTTTCTTTTTTCTTCCAGAGGGAGGTGTTAGGATATTCACCAAATATCCTAAGAATACTATTTTTAGAACTGCAATCCTATTGGTCGAATTCTATTGGCCGAAATTTTGATCGTTCTTACCGTCAGGGTCAAATACTTCAATGTTACCTCTTATTGGTCATCTGGACGGTCAATGTCATTCAAATGTTCTTTTCTATTGGTCGTCCTAAATTGTCAATGTCACGGACGTTGATGCTTTTTCTTATTCGACCTTAGTGTATAAATACGCGCTATCTGGAAGACTTAATAATTCCGTTTCCCCTGCCTACTTCTTCTTCTGTTTTCGACCCAATAAACATCTTCCTTCCACGGTGTTACGTTCTGATTTCTAGGAGATTTGGGAAAGCCTTTGGGTCGTATTGTGATATTTGAATTGGACGCCGTTAGGACTGAAGATTTACGTAGCCGCGTTTACAACAAATTTGGCGACGGGTTGGTGACTAATTATGGATCCAGCTACATTAGAAAAATTGTTTGCACAGCAGCTGAAGCTGATGGAGATGCTTACTCAGACGCACATCTCTTCTCAAGTCTCATCTACACCAACAATTCCTCAGTCAGTTGATGGTATGACCAGTAGTATTTCTGAGTTTCTGTATGATCCTGACGCCAATATTACATTTGATACTTGGTTCATGCGTTATGAAGATCTTTTCAAAGTTGATTTTGCTGACAAAGATGATTCCTGGAAGGTGCGTCTTCTCCTTCGAAAACTTGGTCCGTCAGAACTGGACAAGTATCGCAACTTCATCCTACCGCAGAACCCGCGTGACCGATCATTCGATGCTACGGTTCAGTCCCTCAGCAAACTTTTTGGGGATCAGCATTCTATTTTCAATACACGTTATCGTTGTTTAAAACTAGTCATGAATGAGTCCGATGACTTCTTGACTCATGTTGGTATTGTCAACCGCGAGTGTGAACGGTTCAAACACAGATCCCTTACTGATGACCAATTCAAATCACTCATATTCATATGCAGTCTACAATCACCCAAATTCCCCGACATCAGAACTCGATTGCTTAACCGCCTCGAACAAGACCCAACACTGACACTCGATGCTATCGCTGATGAGTATCAACGCATCACCAACTTACAGTGTGACACCACTTTGGTTCAGTCTGGGAGCCAGGGTGGTTTCGAAGTTCACGTTGTTCAGCAGCAGAACAAATCTTCTAGATCGAAAACCTTTGGTCGTTCGAATGCCAGTTCTGTTTCTAATCACTCAAAATCAACGCATAAGAAGCCCCCCTCACCATGTTGGCACTGTGGAGACTGGCATTATGTGAAATTTTGTCCATTCAAGCAGCATGTGTGCAATCGCTGTCAGAAAATTGGTCATAAAAGCGGTTTTTGCCAATCAACCCGATTCACTGGCCGGCGAAATTCACAGTCGCAGCGCCGTTATCCCAGAAAGCCGTTTGCTGCATCTAGGAGTTTAGCAGCAGCCTTTCACACCGATGCTTCTACTCGACGCAAATTTCTGACCCTCTCGATCAATGGTCAGCTGGTTCGAATGCAGTTGGATACTGCATCAGATATCACTATTCTTTCAGAAGAGACTTGGCGAACCTTGGGTCAACCACGCATCAAACCATCATCGCAGATAGTTGTCAGTGCCTGTGGGGGTCACCTTCGTCTTCGTGGTAAACTTGATTGCTGTGTTTCGTTCAGAGATACAACCTTCAATGGAACATGCTATATCAACAAGTCTCCTCACAACCTTCTGGGGTTAGATTGGTTCGAAAAACTTGGTCTCGCTGATCTTCCCATCAATACTGTCTGCAATCAAGTAAAAACTCCTGCCGTTATACAACAGCATGCTGCAGATTTTCAAAAACGACTCACTGAACCGCTTCAGCCTGGTATCGGACTGCAGCCAGTTGCCATGCCTGAAGAAAATGTGATCTCAGATAACTTGTGTGACGTCACCATGCATGTCAAGTCCCAAGATAAAGCAGACTGGGGTGATGGAGAAAAACATGATACAATAAACAGACAAAGATATTCACGTGACTCCATTCTTTCTTGTAAATCTTCAAGCGTCGAAGTGAAGCTAGTAAATGATAAGGATATCATGAAAAGCCTTCCAAATACCAAAAGACCTCGTGATCAACTAAGGCCAGGGGGAGATAAAGAGAAAGGTAAAATTACGAAGCGCCTCCCACTCTGTTTGCTGTTGGATACTTATCAAGTTCCGCCAATACCTCCACCAGAAACTATCGAGTCATCTACTCAAACAGAACATCCTACAGCTCCAGGGATTTTATCTCCGAGGTGGTCGAAACGCAAGCGAAGAAAATCAAATGATTTCAAGTAAACCCTCGGCTGCGTCGCTGTTATGTATTTTTTCTTTTTTTTCTTCCAGAGGGAGGTGTTAGGATATTCACCAAATATCCTAAGAATACTATTTATAGAAGTGCAATCTTATTGGTCGATTTCTATTGGCCGAAATTATGATCGTTCTTACCGTCAGGGTCAAATACTTCAATGTTACCTCTTATTGGTCATCTGGACGGTCAATGTCATTCAAATGTCCTTCTCTATTGGTCGTCCTAAATTGTCAATGTCACAGACGTTGATGCTTTTTCTTATTCGACCTTAGTGTATAAATACGCGCTATCTGGAAGACTTAATAATTCCGTTTCCCCTGCCTACTTCTTCTTCTGTTTTCGACCCAATAAACATCTTCCTTCCACGGTGTTACGTTCTGATTTCTAGGAGATTTGGAAAAGCCTTTTGGGTCGTATTGTGATATTTGAATTGGACGCCGTTAGGACTGAAGAGTTACGTAGCCACGTTTACAACAGTTACGTAGATGTATTCACCATTTATCTCCTAGATCTTAAGTCATATTATTCCTTCACATGTACATTTATTTCTCTTTTTGAACAGCATTCCAAATTTTTAGTCTTTCTCACTATGATTGCTACTACATGTATTAATACACCTTTACTACTAACTGATCTGAGGACTTTTTTACGTGGCTGACTTATTTGCTCACCCCTTATTTTTATTAACCATTTTTATACATGCTAATTTAGCTAAAAGAACAATTGAAAATTGGTGGCCGTTTAATTTGTCCAGAGGGGCCAGAAGGTGGAAATCAAGCGTTAGTTCAAATTGATCGTTTGGAAGATGGATCTTTTCACAGAAAACCTTTAATGGGCGTGATTTATGTTCCGTTAACCGATAAATCTCGACAAATCGGACCAAGGTAAGACTTGTATTTCCTCAAACCATGCGTATATATATATATCAATTATAAATATTTCAGTCGCATAAATCTGTTGCTTATCTAATAGTGATACATCTCAGACTGTGAAGCTTGGTAACACAGGCTCGAATCCCATATGTTCAACCAGTTCCTTCTTTTTTGTAGGTATGCCTTACTGACTAGTGCCAAATAGCATGAGACCTTGGCTCAGTATATTACCGATCGCATATTACAGTTTTATTTATTTAAAACACATAAATATAAGTACAAGTAGTCACCAAAGTGTATATGCGCCACACAATAAAGATGAGGTTGTGAAGAGATAGAGAAGGAACAGTGAGTTCAGTGAAAAAAGTTGGATAGAAATTAGTATGATAGGGAAATTATGTTAATAATTACGGGAGAAACAGTTCTTTCGACAAAAATACAAACACAAAATATTTTTTCAGTTAAAGAAGTTCTCACTCATGTGTAGAAATTTAAAGAAAGTTAAAGCAGGATCATCACTGGCTTTTGTTCTGAGCCATGTCTGATAACGTCTCAAGCCATTAAGTTGCACAATCTCTAGGACCTCAAGCAGGGAGTCGTGAAGGATCAACAGATTCTTGCCCTGTATCGCTTTATACATATCGCGACACCATGTTACAGACTGACAACCTCTGCTTTTTTGCGTTTGCAAATAGTGCGCGATATGGGATTCGCTGAGATGACATCTGTAGTACATGTCCGAGCTATGAAAGTCAGTGCTTCGAAATGATGACGCTAAATGAATAATCGTTACCCGAACACACGTTGCCGAACCTCTGCGTTACTAACATGGTTTTGGCACTGAATGTCAGCAATCCTTTGGAGACAACGATAACTTGACACAAAAGACTTTCTACTATCTTCAACTCGGAGAGACCAGGTTTCACAAGCGTAAGGCAACACTGCACCCACTGACGCATTGTAGACCCCGACTTCTTTTTTGAACCCCTCAATTATTGGCTGATGACAGTGTTATCTAGTTGGGTCCAACGATGAGACGACTTTGGGGGTCGCCAGGTCAAAAGATGTTTTTGCTTATGCCTAAAGTTAGTGTTCTCTAGAAATAGTTGGTTATCTGAGCATAGCTGCAACAGACTTTTGCCATTGTCTGTCTTCTGGGCTCCCAACACCATAACATCCACCCAGCCGTCTTTCATTTTCACTTGGTCTACCCCAGTCAGTCGGTCATTCAGATGCAACGTAGAACCTCGTACGTAAGTACATCAGTTCATGTCGCCATACCACATCAGCACAGAGATGTAATTGTAAATTCAAATCCAATAGTAGAATAGGTATTAAAGGTATTAGAAGTAATCGAAAAGTTTAGGATTAGAAGATATTATTCAAGAAGTATGATTTAATGAGAAAAGTTTAGAAAGTCAAAACTAGAGGTGTTGAAGAACCCAGAAGATTAGGATTTGAGAGAACACAAAGAATAAATGCACCGGCGCCATTGCGAACGATTTTGAGCCATGTCATTCAAGGTCTCTAACCATCGATTATTATCATCTCGCGGACCCCAACCCGGTAGTCGACAATTACCGACATGGCTAAGTCCACTCGTCAATGGTTTCATGGATTTGTGCCATGTTTGAAGTATCACTACTGCGTCTATTGATCTGCCATTCTTACCTAGCACTCGATTCCTAATAACAGCGTTGCTCACTCGGGTGTCCCCCGATATACGAGCAATGCTTCGAAGACACCTATGATCGAAAACCAGTAACCTGCGAATATCTTCTACTCTCACTGGCCATGTTTCACAGCCATAAAGTAAGACGGAGCGAACCAGAGATTGTTCAGCTCTACGACTCAATGCTGTACCTACGCCAGTGAGGCCCCGGGAAGCAGCATCAGGGTTACCGGATACACAAAGAGTGAATCGAGTTGGTTCTTTATTTTGACAAGGTGAAATCAAATTAATGATTTTACTAGGATCCTGTATGCGCGTTTCCGAGACACAGCATACATCGATGGCACGAGATTCTAAAGTCCTAGCTAAGGAAGCCTGTTGCCCTATTTGACACGATGTCCGTACATTAAATGCTCCAACATGTAGTTTAGAACGGGGTTTCAGGAGACCAGGAATGACGTTTCATGAAATCGCATCGTTTGCATTAGCGGTGCAGCGAGATAAGGGAATGTGAGAAAGGCTGGTTGTGGATATAAAAGAGATATTAAGATGTGTAGGAAAGATTTGATTGTGACTAATTTGGTCTGTTGTACTGAGGGCGGATGTCAATTCACGGTTGCCCACACTGTGGATGGGTGTATCTTGAGGTAACTGAAAAGGAAGTTAGATTAGCGTCGGTGTTAGCGACCTGGTAGCGAGACTGCAGAGCCCGAGAGACAACTGATTGAGTCCGGTCGTGCAAGACGTTTCTTTACAGCCACTTTCATTACTGAAATCAGCCTTGTTTTCTCTTTTGCACTTCATGAGCTCTAAGTTTAAGTGGGGCTAACAACTTAGAATCTACACTAGTTAGATTTATTCCTCTGTGATTATGTCACGAGGACTTATGTCCTTGCTCATAAATTGGTTTAGTATCAAGGTTTTCCAGCTCATCTGGGTGGATTAGCTTTACCCACCATTCCGATGAAGCTATATACACTTGATCTTCATCCTCCCAATTTCATAAACAACATTACCGTTGAGTAATACTTCCATGGTACTGGCTATTGTCGTATGCTCATATGAGCGCATTCTTAGTTAGGACTCTCTCTATATCCCTGTAGGTTTTGTTTTTCGTTCAAATGAGCATGACCGAGTGAGTAGCAATGACACCTTTTAGTACTGCCTCTGACTATGCCTATCATGCTGTTACAACTAGAAAATAGTCGCCGTATCTTCAGTGGCGGCCACTGTTATCATCATCTAGCTATTATTTGGGGACAGCAACGCTATAGTAAGTTAAACCTAACAATATTTTAGTTTTTATCTTCGAGAAGTTTGTTTTCATAATCACAAATAACAATTCAGCTTATTGAAGCAGACTTCAGAAAACTGTTTGATCATCTTTACCGTTAACGTTTCATCTCAATGAAAACTGTTAACGAAAAACCCATGTGTGATTTTTAGATCCCTTTGACAAAAAAATCCCTTCACGTATTGATTTTGACTCTAAATACTTTGTTTCATAACGAAATCTATAGTCCTCGGTTTATGAAAACTTGACATTCATATTGAATCCACACTAGTTCATGTATCTGTATATTGATGTGTTGGGAAAATTAGCCTATTTGGTATACATTTTACCAGGGCCAGGTAAATTTAGGCAATCAATTTTTGGCTACTATTATCATTATAATTATCATAATCACATACAAGCTTACTGTTTACATCTTCGGGGGAGGTATTTGCACCCAACAGTGGGTTGTCATTTTACAAGTCGAATTTTTATATTTTCCCGTTGATTTTTTTTCTATAGAATTTTGTAACAAGTCAAATAAAATAACTACTACTAATCATTTAACAGATTTAATTTGTTCCACTAGTTTAAATTAATTTTTATGGTCACCTTTTGCAAGGAGTATTGATATTGTAGCTGTGTACTGTTAAAATAGACACTCCTATACTCGATTAAAACAATTGTCCACTTCTTTCTAGTTTTCAATGGTTAACGTCACCATGTACTGCAAATCGTCTTCAAAGTTAGTTTTATACCTAATGACTACCTCAACTCCCATTAGTAACTGGCACAGACACCAGGAAAAAACTGTTAGCGGTCAAATCGAGATGTAGAATCGATCCATAAAAAACTGTTGAACTGACCGGTGTTTGTAGGTGTAGACCACCCGGCTAATATCTACACCATTATCGTACCCAGTGATTGTGTTGGTATTGGCTAAAATAACACAAAATAAGTTACAATGGCTTTAGTACATGCACATCTTATAGACTTCAACTTCTAATATTTCTGCAAACATACCTTTTCATTTCTTTCTTTTGAACCATGTTTAATCTTCCCCATAATTATTGTTTCTGTCATGGTAACTTGAGCTGGCGCATAATTATTTGCTATGCGTATTTTTTCACAATTCAAAATTTCTATCTTTCTACCCTTTTACGATGCAAATGAGAGTTGAATAAGAAACCGTTTGTTGACATGCTGTGTATGTCTATGTCATATCTTTTTTTCTTCATATTGTGAATTATTTTGACAAGTAGCCGTGGGAAGCATATCACTGTTTAGTGTTTTTCACACACACACACACACTCTGCCTCTCGAGATCTGACCTACCTGAGATCATATCCTTTATCCTATACCATCGTATTTTTATTTGCTGCACAGAATTCAAACTTTCGAACTTGATTGATGGGTAAATAAGTTCAAATGAATAGGTTACAGTTTATCATGTGTCAGTTCATAAGCTAGTACATGTAGAAATGTGTTAATGGATCTTTGAGTTACATCCTTTGTTGTCTGTCCATTCCAAAATCATTGCATCATCGGCGTAACAGAATAAACGGCGTACTTGTACAAACGCCTTACAGCAAGGGTAGTTATTCACCAACTAATGATTAATTCTGAGAAGTGATTCTCGGAGTTTTAATGAGATGTGGCTGGTGGTGTTCAACTTAATTGGGTATCAGGAAGTTACCCACCAATGGCAATAAAGCGAATGGGTTAGAAATACAGAACATTAAATATCAAATCAATTTTTCATATATTGATTGCTCACCACAAATCCTAGAGGTCCTAAGTTAAATCCCTGGTGTAGTTGTGGATGCTTACTTCAACAATAGCATTATCATAAGTTTTTTTTGCTCATATAATTTATTTATCAAGTATGGATTTGCTCACTAGTAGTCATTTTGCACAGTTGCCCAAAGTTATTTAGATGGAACGAGAGATTTGAACCGACAAGCATAACAATAGCTAATTCAGTTTGACCGGATGGATAATAAATAAAGCAACCAATGAAATACACAGTGAAATTATAATACACTGACGGCCTTGAGTTTATTTTTGCGTGAAATTCAAAGTGCAGTGATAACTTGTATGCTATTCATAACAAAGGAAAAGTTGGTTGTATTTGGCCCTTAAAATCCCTGAAATCCATATAAATATTTTTTATGAACGAGAAGTGGGTTTGAGTTAGTGCTTAAGTTAAACTATAAAGCATACACAATCCCTAGTCAAATTTTGTGTTATAGTACGTGATGTGATTCACCGCGTTGTTAAGAATGTTTGGTGAAGTTAGATAATATTCTCCCACTCTTACTCTGAATCACAATCCAAGCTTGTAAACAGAATGATGGTAAAGCATTGCATTATAGCTGATACCAGTCCCTGAAGACAGCCCTAACCCTAATTTGTAAACCCAATTCAGAACTTCAGTTTAATTATTAATTATCAGTATTGCGTCATGGAGATTCCTTAGTTTTATTGAAATCACGAAGTAATCAATTTTAAATAATTGAAAACCTGATGGGCCGAATGGCCATTTCGTCGTAATAGGTGCTACTACATGGGATTTCTACAATCTTCACAAATCCCTCTATATCATTAATAATCATATTTCCACTAGTGACCAGCTTCAAAATATAATTCGCGGACTTCTAGTTAGAAGTCGTGGCCATTTTAGTTCAACCGTGCCTGATTTCACAAATGGAATGTCAGCTCAGTAGTTTAATGATTGAGTGTTCGCGCTCGTAACCGAAAGTTTTGATTTCGATTCCTAGATCAAGGGTTATCGATGCACATTGCTGAAGTGTCCCTTACTTTTTTAAAAATGTGCTTTGTACTAGCTTTTTTAATTCTTCATTTGTTCATGGTTTATGCATTCCCTTTCATACAGATTTTATAAGTCCATCGAATTTTACTTGTTTGATATTTGTTTGTTTTTTTCTTCACATTTCTTTTCTTCATTTTTTCCCGATCTAGGAGGTGGCATTAAAACTGACTACTTTTATTCACCATTGTTGTTATTTATGTTTTCTCACTCACAGAAATCAGTCATCATTATTTCATCACCAACACAACCATCATCTATGATTATTTTTTGTCATAAACTATTAATTGTATTATGTTGTCATGTAAATGTGATTTCATTGATTCGGAGCATTAATATACAATTGGAAGCTTCGATATCCAGCACTACTTTTTATATTTAAATGTAATAACCTATTTCCTCTTTTTCTAGGCAAAAGAACTAGACTGCTAAATTGTTTTTATTTAGTTTCGCTTCTTTCACCATGATTTCGGTTTCAATATAATATTTTACTATTTTAATTCATGGAAACTATCATACTGTTAGATTTTTATTATGATCTTAACCCCTGTCCGATTTTCATCTTATTTTTCCGGTCATTTTGATTAATAATATCAATAGTCATGAACATCTATTTAATTGACTTGGTGTTTTCTCCGAGACAACTCATTATAGAGGTAAAATGACTTTTATTATATACAGTTATTTCATTTCGACATAAACTATCTATTGTAACAAGTCACATTTATGGTGTATTCTGCTTATCTTTTTCGCATTCTCGGCATCGTTTCCACGCCTGTTATAACAATTTATACGTGCATGCGCATTTTTGAGGATTTATATGCATAGTATATATTCGCCGTGCAACTAGAAAAAATCAGCTGATATGTCGCCCTTTGTTCTGTTTTTCACGTTTATGTCTGTTGTTTTTAGTTGACAGTTACAAGTTATAGCAATGAAGTTGTGTAATTTTCCATAGATCAGAAAAAGTGTCATAGTAGTTCAGCTAATCGGTCTTCCGACCACTTTGTCACGAGTTCAAACTCCCGATTATTGATATTATCATTACCACTGCTTTCACAATAAAATGTCCAGCTGAAGTATAGACAAATCTTTTGTTACCTGGTCGCATTCTTTTAAGTTATAAGCTGAAAGTTTTTTTTATTAAAATTGCGATTCGGTTCAAGTAATGGATGGCGTTGTAATATGGTTTATTTTAATTACCTTGGTATTTTAAGGTAAACTTGTTAGATCAATGTTCAGTCTACTAAGCTTTCAGCAAGGGGAAAACTTATATCTTACATGACCTTATGTTAAGCTGTAACCATTCACATGATTTCCATCTTGTATTTCTGTTTTTGGTATTAGTGTATCTCAAATAATACTGAGTTGTTGGATTAAGTTAATTTAAGATAACTGATTCGAATTTAGAGGAAATTGTGGTTCCTGAAGATTTGTACATTTCGCTTTCAACGACACTAATTATGAAGGCTAGTAATACTATCGGGTTAATAAAACCGAAGTAGCTAGTGCAGAGTCCGGACGTGCAACTTACTAGTTGAAATTCAAGCTCCTTAAGCACCTCTCTGCTGCCTGTAAGGTAACAAACCCTATAATTTAATGACTGCCTGTTGATTAAAATCGCAGTTTATTTCCCAATTAAAAATTCACTGATTTTTCTGTGATTAGTAGACATCCATGGTAGGTAATACCGTCGGCTACTATTTACATTGACCAGTAGGGCGATGGACTACGACATACTGAAGAGAAAACTATTTTGTTCCAAACTTACCATAATGAAATTTCAGTAGGTTATTGACTTCAAACTGTAACTAATTAATTATGCTCTGTAAAAAGCACACTAGGGGTTTTAATTTTCTCTTACACACATTCACATCGATTATTCAACCAGCTGTAAGGTAGGTAGGGTGGAATAGATAACTCTTCTTAAGGCTTATTTACAGAGGTAGCGTTTCGCCCACATATGATGCAGATTAGGTTATATATGGATTAGGACATGGTTGAGTGGTTATTTTCACTGGTCTGAATGTCCACAGCATAACATACTGAGTAAATATCAATTTTAACTCAAATCCGGCATTACTCACTAACCTTATGTAGACAAAAGTACTTCTGTGAGAAATATATGTTTCATTTGGACACTAGTTATCGAATTATTAATCAGTTTTAGACAATGTGACCTATCTAGTTCAGCTGTATATGACCGCCGAAACTTACTTCGTTCCTGATTAACCTTTTTGTTTAGACCTTTATTTACTCATACTGTTTATCTAAACCATCAATTCTATCTTTTTTTAATTTAGATTACAAAGAGACGAGCTGTAATACACATGATGATTTAGTACAGCAGTTCAATTTTATGGATGAAATCTTAAAAGTTGTAACTATTTGTAAAATAAATTTGTTTATAAAAAGCGTGACTTTTCCGAATAACAAATTATTCTAGATGTTATACTTCACTTTAAATTGCTGTATAACGATACACTGTGATGCTGCATTTCGTAGGATATGTTGTATAGAAGTTTATCTTTGACTGGAATGAATTGAATTACATTGGTTGGATGTGATTAGTCAATAAGTAAATAATACCGATACAAACAAATGTTATGGCTATGAAGAGAATATAATCCAAGCAACAAACGGTAAAACCATAATATACTGAAAACGTCGGATGGCTGATCAGTCAATGAAGAAACACTGCTTAGTTATGAAGCAATCAACTGCTGAAAGCCACAAAATATCAGTGGAACAATGATCAACCCTCACATGTCGGATTATACCTTGCAGTGGAAGGCCAAATTCACCAATCAAAAGTCAGGCTAGTGTATTGAGTTACTGTAATCGCTCCACAGAGGTCTAGTCACCAACTATCATGCGAAAAGGTAGGAATGAGTATAATATACATACAACCTTGTGTGTACCAATCAGAATTAAAGTACCGCCACACATTTTGTGCGAAATTTAAAGTGCAGCAATGTAACACACTCGGAACCTTAAGCTACCAACTCCTAGTTCCGATTATCAGTTTGTCTTAATCTTGAGCTTCTTATTTCTGACTGTTGTCGATTGCTCTCCCTAATAAAAGTGTATTTTACGTGCTTACTGAGTAGTCGCCTCACCTTTTCTATTGTTCTTTCCTCTTCCAGATAACCTTACACACTGCTCCTCAAACTACCCCAGCACACAAGGTATCATCGGGATAAACGTACACTTGCCTAAGGCTAAAGTTACAGCAATATATAACTTGTATGTTGTTATTAACGAAGTAGAAATCAGCAATATTAGTCCTTCAAATGATTGAAATCAAGACATTTTTATTATGAAACCGAAAAGTAAGTTTGAAATAGTGATTAAGCTGAATTACCAGACATAACTACCCTCAAGTCATATCTTGTTTTGAAGTGTTTGATACGATCCAATGCGTTGTAACTAATGTTTAGGAAAGCGAGATAATATCCTTCCTTTTTAACTCTTACTTTAAGTTTCAACTATAAGTTTCTCAAGTTTGCAAACAGTAGAATAGCAAAGCATTAATGCGTTTGCAGCGATTCGTGATAAAAACACTAACGTGAAAAACTTAAGTCAAAGCGGTAAAAGTTTAATATACTGACGACATAGAGCGGCTTATCAAGATACATCGCCTAGTTATACAACAATCAACGGTTAAAAGCCACGATATCATTGAGATAATAGCCTTGATCTGAATCATCAACCCCTACATATCGAATAATTCCTTGTAGTGAAAGGAAAAAGCTGAATTCACCTACTAAAAGTTGGGCTACTCTTATGTGTGGATTAGGGTTATCACTCCACAGTTTTTTTTCACCAATTGAGATCAGCTACAATGCTAAAACGTTACATGCAGCTATTTAAAGTTGGGCTAGAGTTCTGAATGTGGTTTTTAAATTAGGTTTAGGGTTTTCGTATCACAAGCTAACATTAGTTATGATGTAATGCTCTGCCATTCTACTGTATGCAAACTTATAGGTCAGATTAGGAATTTTAAAGTGAGGATATTATCTTGCCTCAATAAACATTCTTGACAACACACTGAACCACTAAAAGTACTTTAACATACGATCAGCCTTAAGTGCAGTTATACCTTACTACCTAATCTAAGCCATCGGTTTGATAATGGAAATTTCTATTGATTTTATGCATTTAAAGAACTGTATATAGCCATTTCTTCCTTTGTTAAAAATAAATAGTTATCTATCTGTACATTTGATTTCGCACAAAATACAGAGTGATATCTTGATCATATTTGGCTCACACAAGGCCATATGTATATTATACTTTTACGAACAACAACTTACAACTGGTTCTTGATGACGTCAGAGTCAGAACCCCAAACTTTGTATGACCAAATTCTTACCCAGGACCCCAGACCAATTAGTTGGTTCATGAAGTTATCGAATGTTGCATATGTTAAATATGTTCCCTCATAAAGATCTTATTTGATTCGTATATACTCTCCATAGTTAGGATAGAATATTCCTCGGGTGTTTCTTGTATTATTCATGATTATTTTGTTCAGTTAGAACTACATAACTGGGCAGAAAGACCAGATTTTTGCTAATTATACAACGATTGTTGATGAACCTTGCGAAGAACAATACGATATGTCACATCTAACTTGGATCGTCATGCTGGTGCATAATTCATTTCTTTATGCAGCCATATATCAGTACGTTTTTTGCGAGGTAGATCGATAGCCGTACTGAGGCGATATGAAGTAAACTAAAGCAAACTATCACCTCCTACAAGAAGGCAACTTAACACGTTGAACTTATAATAAACCACAGAGCTTTAAATAGGATCTATGCTCTCTTAAATGAAGAATTCAGATTACATATCATAACGCCTAACAAGTATCATGTTTATTGAAGGCACGGCTGTGATTACCGCGAATGTCTATCCCCAAGTAGGGGCTCTACTTCTTCAAATCGAATTCGATCCTTTAGTTAACAAAGTCAAATCTGGTTCACAAAACTATCCTCATACATCGCGTTCTGACCTTCACTTGCTGCGTCATAAAAGCAATAATTCCAGGTGGCATCATAAATTTCCCTAAATTCCAAATGAATTTGGTTTTAACACTGACGCAGCACACTTGGATAAATGATGATTACAGCATTGCAGATGACAAGAACCACCACTTATTTATCCCAACATGAAACTTTAATGCCTAAAAATATTCTTTGTTATGGAGAAAATGACTGATTGGATGTGCAATCAAATTACATAATAAAGAAAACTATGCACATATAGTATTATACAATAAGGGTAGCAAATTGATAGATTCAGAGAAAAACCTGAAGATTACTATTTCTTGCAAAATAATTTATCCAGCTAGCACGATGAAGCAGACTATAACCATACGAGAGAGTTATATAGTGTCCATCTTCTCCGAAGTTGAGTAATGATAAAAACTGGTAGTAATCTGGGTTTTTTAGAAAAGACAAAAAAAGTTTATGATAATAAGTTAACTCATTCGTCAGGTACTCGGGTATGAAACACACCCTAAAAGTGAGTGGTAATGATATGAACGGCCTCCCAAACTAAAGTAAATCAAATGGGGTTTAAACCTGAAACTTGATGCGTGAAAGTCAGACGCTTTAACCACAAGCTACAGCCCAAAGGTGAAGAATCACTAAATTGAATATTTTACAAGATTACACACTGGAATATCCTACCATACGTCTTGCGTCACACGGTTACGATATACATTCCAAACACCCAAAAAAATTAACTTTACCAGTAGTAAACTACTACCTAATTGTACAAACAGGCTGGTTTACAACATGGAAGTGCATGTATAGACCAGATATTCACACTACACAAAGCCTTAGAACATAGGCACGTTCAGACGTCCCACAATAGTTGCATTTCTCGACCTACAGGCAGCATTCTGTGACAATGTCTGTCATTGAAAGGAGTAGGAAAGAAAGGTATTAACCTTGTACAGGCTCTCTACTCGAACACTACTGGCCGAGTGAAAGCTCATGGAGAACTGTCATCGGAATTAATTACATCAAGTGATGCTCATCAGAGCTGTCCACTCTCCATTCTTATCCAACTTTGTCATTAACATGCGTTTAGAAGTTGGCCTTCTACCAGGAGATTCACTCATTCACTTAGAATATAACGATGACATAGTTCTGTTCGGTGAAGACGCTGAAAAAATACAGTCTTCTGACTACTCTATGTAACAATGCAAGCATGTTGAAGATGCGGTTTTCCCCCTCGAAATGTCAAGTGTTGTTTCAGGATTGGCCATCGTCGGTACCTGAACTAGTGATACGGAGTGAAGTAGTCGAGCATGTTGACAACCTCACTTATCTAGGGATTCTCATCAGTGCTGATGGCCTGGTGACTGACGAAATCTCAGCACGGATACAGAAGGCTCCATTCGCTTTTGCCAAATTGCGTCACTTATGGCGTAGACTAGGCATTCGTTTGCTAACCAAAGGACGAGTGTACTGCACATCAGTTCGCTCTGCCCTGCTATATGGATACGAAACATGGCTAGTATTAGTTGAGGATATTCGCAGATTACTCGTTTTTGACCATAGGTGTCTTCGAAGCATTGCTCTAGTGTCCTGGGATAATCGAGTAGGCAATGCTGTCGTTAGGAAACGGGTACTAGTTAAGGATGGCAGATTAGTTAACATGGTATTGAGTCTTCATCAGTTGAGGTGAACTCAGCCATGTTGGTAGGTGTAGACTACCTGGTTTGGGTCTGCGATACAATTTTAAGCAATGGTTAGAGACTTACAATGACGTGGTTGTAGATCGTTGGCGATGGCGCAGATGCACTCACTCCTTGTCTTTGTCGAATTATAATCTTATGAATTCCTTATGACCGCCCTCTTTTTAAATTGATTTCACTGGGATATAGTTCTATAATCCTATCTTTGATCCCTAATCTTTTTGATTGCCGCTAATACTTCTACGAGATTTGAATTGACAGTTTGGTTTATGTGGCATGGCAACTTGAACTGATGTACGTCTAGGACCTCAGATACATTTTGTACTCTTATGAATGTTGAACTTGTATGCACAGATATGCTTGGGCATTGCTTACCGCCTACGCACATTGCCATTCAGCTAGCGTTATTGATTAGCTAAATAATTTGATAACAATATAGACTGTTTTATGTTTGTTATATACATTCGATAACTTTATCCATCATTATATATTTTGAAATAATAAAGAAATTGTGTCAACGACTCGCGTTTTATAGTTGCGGTCGTCAGGACGAATAGTATACGGGATTTAGGAATATATCAATTGTCAACGGCCACGTATGTACTTACAAGTTTTACGTTGTAGCGGACTATTTTCTAAAGGATGCTTTATTCTTAAAAATGTAGCTAATTTCTTTATATTCACATTGAATTACTTACTAATAAACTATGAGCGAAGTTCTTTCGGTATATCTCTACGAAATCCAAGTTCTCGTATTTTCGAAATTACATCTTTTTCTTTGGTTACTTTATCACTAGCTTCAGCTAATTTCTTTTTCTCATCACTAGTTTTACCAACTGGACCGTACCGTCTTTCCCATAGTAAACGATGTTTTTGTTTCATAAAAGCATCAACAACAGTTGCTGACCAGTGCAGTTCTCCATCTTAAAAAAAGAAAAAGTAAATGGAATGTATTAAAAAAAGGATTGACAGTGACTGAAAAGCGTAGACGTACCATAGAAATTTTCGACTGTCAGCATTACTGGTGTTTTATATTATTTGTTACATTAACAGTCCTACATAAGTTATGCACGCAATCTGTGTTCGATTGAGAGCTGCTCAAAGGAGTTTTGTTTACGAAACAAGAGAATGTAGTCTAGCATAGTCGAGTAAACCTTGGTTTATTTAGTTCAGACCGAATATTTGATGTTTGGTCGTTACAGAGATTATCTGCCTAGCCTTGCTATAAGATAGGTATCAAAGCATGTGTGCACAAAACTAAGACCTTTACATGTCACCGACGGATAGCTAGAAATTCTTTGTAGCATCTTTAAAAATGAAAGGCATACGCAAAAAGTTAAGGGTTTGAAAGAAGCGATGAGACCAGTCTTTGAAATATCATCTGCAGCTAAGTGGATTCGGTTACATATTTTAACCGGTTACTTTTTAAAAGGTGGTAATATCCTTGAAGGTAGCTATCAAATTGGGGATATAGGGCAGATAGTAACGGTTAGTAGTGGTTATTGCAATTGGGAGTAGACTTCTACTAATAGAACACCCTTCATCGTCGTCCGTTTGAGGAGTTATATGCAATAGAGATACCCAGAGACTGCAAAACATCGCCAGTTACACACATTCATTTCATTTAAAATAGTAAAGTCGAAATTACTAGTCAAGCACCGGTTTTAATAAGGAGCACTGTATGATATCAAAATTCCGAATTTAAAGGAAAATAAAGAAATGCAACTGCATCAAGTCGAAAAAGTCTACAATCATTAACATGGTTACTTGTAGCGTAAAACGTCAAGTGCTATGAGCCATATAACTAACTATTAAAATAATGTATAGAGCTACTACCTTGCCTACCGCGATGACCCAATCATGCTATATTCATCGAAACACATGTTCTTCTACATCCTACCATACAAGGCAGATCCATTGGAAAACCGTAGGACTAAAAGCAGCTACTCAAGGTCTGAGGGCGAAGTCGTACTGCTGACTGTAAAGAGGTCTGACGGCAGTAAGGCGTTTCTCTCGGACAACCTGCATCTGCAACGATGCTGCTTTCTCACAATTAAAGGAAGGGGTTAGAAAAGATCAACCCTCAGAATTTCAAACCTCATCTTATCCCACGGATTTCCATCTCCGGCAGTAATGCCTTCTGAAGAGCGGAGCTAACACTAAAAACGTCCTGTGGAAAGGTCGTACGCGACTGGTCTCAATCAGTTGTCTCTTCGGCTCTGCGGTCTCGCTACCAGGTTGCTAACACCGACGCTAATCTAAATTCCTTTTCAGGTCCCTCAAGATATACCCATCCACAGTGTGGGCAGCCGTGAATTGACATCCGCCCTCAGTACAACAGACCAAATTAGTCACAATCAAATCCTTTCTACGCCTCTCAATATCTCTTTTATATCCACGACCAGCCTTTCTCACATTACTTCTTCTCGCGCCAATGATGCAAACGTTCCCAGTTCATGGAGCATAATTCCTGGTCTACATAAACCACGCCCTAAAATACAGGTTGGAGCATTCAGTATTAGGAACTTGTGCCGAACAGAACAATAAGCTTACTCATCTAGAACTTTAGAATATCACGCAATCGATGTATGCTGTATCTCTGAGACTCGCATACAAGATACGAGTACAGTCACTTAATAGACCTTAACACGTCAAACCGTCTCCATTTACGCTTCGTATATACTGAGACAACCCACTATTCCTGGCAGACAACTCTTAGCATAAAAATAAAAAGCTTTTGACAAGGCGACCCCCGAAGCCGACTCAACGCTCGACCCAACCAGACGATCACATTGATACCAGACACCAACGGAGAGGCTCGATAGAACGCCGCTCATCCTGAAGCACATGTTTAGATTCAGATCATGTCTTATTAGGAGCGTGTATTTGTTTGAGGCTTAATGGACGTAAGAAAACAGCAAGGAAACACCATGGAGTTCTACTTAACAATAGCAAAGCTAAGAATATATTTCAGGAGCAACTAGGAAAACAGTTAGGCAGACATGTGAAGGATGCGCACCTCAAGGCAGCTTGAAACGATATCCGAAAATGCTATGTGAACCGTAGTGATATCTGCTAGTAAGGCAAACCATTAGGTTATGGAGAATAGGTGGATTCCAGTGGCATCTTCTGAACTGATAGGCGCTCGGAAACTCATGCTACCTGGCCCTGAGCATGATGAGGAGTGGAGGCAGCTTAAACACAGGCTAACAAGAACCTATGCAATGATCGCGAACAGTGGTGGGTAGCGAAAGCAAAACAGATGGAAAAGGCAGCAGTAATATGTGACAGTAGACAACTATTCAGATTTACCAAAGAAACCGGTATTGGAAATCCAAACGTTGGTGAGAATATCTCGGAAAAAGATGGGAATGTTACTCATTCCCAATACAGGAGATCGGATCAATGGACAGAACACTTTAGGGAGCAGTTCAACTGGCCTTCAGCCACACTTCGGTTACCCACCCTCTTCAAACAACCTGAATGGCAAGTTGATGTAAGTCCTCAGACTCGTAATGAGGAGGTTGTAAAGGCTACATGCCATCTTAAACCAGGGAGAGCAGCAGGTCCTGAAAGGCTAACCCCCAAAGAAACATAACGATGGTGGTCCAGTTTTAACAGTTACATTGACTGAGATCTAAGATAGAATCTGGGAACTGGACATAATCTCATCTGACTGGTCTCAATCACTGATTGACTCAGTCTGTAAGGACGGACAAAAGTCTTCTTGTGGCAATCACAGAGTAATCAGTTCAACTAATATAGAGCGTAGGATATTAGCTTCAACAAAACTTCGACGCCTAACTAGAGCTTATGAAGAACAGAATCGAGAAAATCATGCTGGTTTCAGATCTGGACGTGGATGTATAGACCGAATATTCACACTTCGTCAGGTCCTAGAACATAGACACACGTTTCGATGTCCCAAATTTTGCATTTTTCGACCTACAGGCAGCGTTCTGTGACGGCGTCTATCATTGAAAGGAGTGTGAAAGGGATGTATTAACCTTGTACAGGCTCTCTAATCGAACACTACTGGCCGAGTGAAAGCTCATGGAGAGTCTATCGCACAACAGTTGGCTCCGTCCTACTCTTCGCGTGTGATGCATTGCTAGTCATAGTTGGAGATACTTGAAGTCTACTTGTTTTCGATCATAGGAGTCTACGAAGCATTGCTTATATATCATGGGACAATCGAGTAAGCAATGCTAGTCAGGGAATGGGTACCTTTTAAGGATGGCAGATCAATTGATGAAGTAATGAATGTTCATCAGTTGAGGTGACTGGGATGTGCGTTAGGTATGCCCAACCACGAATGATGATTTATTTAGTAGGGGGAAGGCTGGCTGGAAGCTTGGGACGTCCAAACCAAAACATGGCGCAAATCCATGCTGTAAATGACAATTGGATTGCGCCATGTTAATAGATGTATACTATCCATGTGGGGTCTGTAAGACAATAGTAATCGATGGTTAAAAACCTTGAATGGCATGGCTCAAAATCGTCCAGGTGCATCCATTCTTCGTTTTCCCTCATGACCTCATCAGCACAGTACCTTTTCTCACCGTTTTTGGAAATTTGTTTCACTACACTTTGCTTTTTGGATAGTTTCTTCGAACCCTAATCGTTTTCATCACCGCTAATACTGCTTCAAGCTCCACCACTATATGATTTCAATAGATGATTTGGACTTAGTTCTGTCATACAGCAACCGGAAATGATATACCTATGTACGAAGTTCCACGTTGTAGCTGACCGAGCGATAATAAAACTGAATTTACTAACTTTGTTCGCTAACAATTCCCGGGGGAGCGGTAATTGGCTATATACTAACCCGCAGTCATACATTAAAAGATAGATTGCGTTTAACTTGATTAAGTACTCAATTTTAAATCGTTTAAACTCGCGCTTTGTTGTACCTCAAGCAGTACTAGGTCTAGTATCTGAGTTCAATATCTCTGGAAAGATTAACGACTTCCAAACAGACTGAGTTTTCTGAAGAGTTTAGTCACACCTAACTTGTCAACTGGCAAGACCATAATCTGAAGTGAAAACCTGAGATTTACTAAGATAACGTTAATTTATCAGAAACTCACATAATGGCAACCTGGGATAATAACTGAGGGGAAGCACATAATTATATGTACGTTCATTATCATTTTGTACTGAGTACTGATTAAAACTAACGAATGTGTCTCAACCACCGACAGGGTATTTTCATTAATGTCATCAGTGACCACTAAACCAATATATATGCAGCATTCAGTAATAACGGGGTTACATTATCTCTATATTCGTTTGCTTACATAAATACGTATTACCTTCAATCCTATATACGCTTTCTTTGTTACCTAACCTGATGACTAGGTAAAATGAGTAATGCCCCCAAATATTCTAGGGCAGTCTATTGTTGAGACTTAATTCTTAGAAATGAAATACAACACACAGGAACGTACATTTAATGTAGTAGTTGACAGCTGCATCTTCATAATCAGTGAACATGGAACCGCAGAATCGATAAACATCTTCTTTCTCGTATTTGTACCACCTCGCACATTCATTTTTGCGATTACGCAGAATCCGAACAATATTTAAATCCACCAATCTAAGGAAAAGTTTAAGATGTAGCTCAAAAGAGTATAGAACAATCGTTTATAAAAGGCACGAAACCAAAAAATAAGACAAACTGTGTAGATGGCTTAATTATAATCTATGACTATTTGAACACATGGACAGTGCAAATTCTTAACCCTACTTGCAAAACCGAACTCTGAGCTTTGATCAAGCACAAACTTTACTATTAAATATAAAGAAATTAAAAATTGGGTGAAATCGAATTTATTTTGGAGTTTCTCAAACTTGGGAATCCTTACTTTCAGCTTCCTTAGTCCTACAGAAGGCCTTCCATATGAAACAACTATCCTTAAGTCAGACAAGTACTTGATCCACTAATAGAAGAAACAGGTAGTTTTGAGGTCTTGACATTGAGATTAATTTTATTGGTTGAATTCAGATGAAAAATAGGTAGTCTGCTAAATATATATATATATATATATATATATATATATATATATATATATAATACACACTGTGGTATATATTCCTCTTTTCAGTGAGTTAAAAAGTAAAGTATTGAAGGTTAACAGTAGTAAAATATCATATTCCTACTAGGTCACAATTTTCTTCATACTGACTGAATAGTTCCTGGTTTCTACATCAATCGATATACTTACTGCATTTAGAATGAGGTGCTTTATGCCGATTAAATTGATGAGAATGTAACTGATGGTAAAATAATCTACTAAAACGCACATACTTAGTTGTTGAATTGGTACCAGAAACAGAAATTTTCGAAACTAAATTGTAAAAAAATAACCCGGATGCAGACTTACCGGTCTCGATGGTATTGTTGATTGGCCTCCTCAAAACAAGCCAGGTCGTTGGTAAGACACTGATCTATCGTTGGAACACGGTCATATCGCTTATGATAGTATGGGTAAGGAGTGCGAACTTTGTTAACAACTTGTTCTACAGAAATATTCTGAATACTTCAATTTTTACCGCGAAAAAAGGTAACAGGCTTGTCAAATAATGATCCAAGAATTAATGAAAGCTGATAGGCGAAAGTTGGCTTGAATTCCCTGAAGATCTCTTCTCTGGTAACGTCATCATGACTATTATGAAGACCATCACCCCCCATAGTAGCGCAGGATTCAAACTACGCCAAACGCTCAACCTTCAATTTAGGAAAGAGGAGAGGATGAATAGCATCTTCTAATCCTGACAGTAAACGTCTTGAAATTAAGCAGATGGACAGAACTTGAACTACGAGTCTGACTAAGGGGAACTATTCACTGATTAGTTGGGCTGTTCTATATCCAATATATATTGACGAGTTAGTATAAACCGATTCTTTTTCTTTCGATGCGGTCCCGGGTATTTGGTAGTCTCCATTAGATGGGAGCTCAGCCATTACACTACACTGATTCTAGGCAGCTCGCAGTTGTTTGTGAGTCCCGTGATTTGAATAAACACGTTTGTTTCATGGCAGCAGGGTTTCTGGATACCAGCAGCTATCACGTTACCAGGCTGGAGAACAGTTAGCTGCAATGTGGAGAATAAAAAGCGTAAAGCTTTAATGCTAATGGGAAAATTTCAGGACTAAGTAAATAAATAAGTTAATTATTGGTAGTGGAGATTTTGCAAGAGGACCGAAGCGTAGGCGAGGGAAACGAGACAGATTATAAGCGAGAAAGATCATGGCATTAAACTGAGGAAATGACAGTAATGAGAACTAGCAGGTGTCGAGATACGCATCAAGAAGGAGATGATAATTCGTATGTGAGCAGGCGTTTGTCAAATCTCTTTTTACGGCTATCTAGTGGTGGGCCTCTGGTCAGTTCAGCTGCTAGAGCATCCCAGGTTGCCATAAAGCTTGGTAAAAAACTGTGCACGAACCTGAGTGCGTCATCATAAGATCAGCTATGGTTCTCCTGTAACTCGGCGTGAATAATCCCAAATGTTGGAGTTTATCTTCAACTCTATCACCCACTTAGTTACTCGTCTCTGAACTCGATCTAATGGATTAATGTATCTTCTACGAATGTAAACAGTAATATCGTGAAATTAAATTTGTGCTCATTTGTATGGTTTATATAGAGTCAAGAACGATTCTGTGATGATTGCATCACGTTTTCATAGCGGAAAGTGAAGTTACATTAGCCCTGCTGCTATACACATATTGGGGAAGTAAACTGGACAGAATGTGAGCGGTGTAAACCAATCCTATTATACCTCCAAAGCGTGTCTGCTATATGCTGTGTCACGTGTGACATGGGACAGAATTTACATAACGTGATGTTTCGACTGATTTAGATTTAAATAATTTTTCATTGCAAATTCTTCGACAGATGAAGGATAATAATAATGATAGAAACAATAATAATATTGACAACAATATTTATCTTCAAACAGCAGTACGTTACAAGAGGCATGTCAGTTCATAGACTGGATCAAATTGTCACGAATGCCCACACATTTACGGCGAAAATTATCACAGTTAAATTCAGTGTTAGAGTCGGTTTCTGATGGCATATTAACACCCTGTCACTGATACAGCCACATTTTCAATAGGAGAGTACAAATAGGGATGGTGTATAGTAGGTTTCTTGGATGGATTGCTTAGATCAGTAGTGAAGTTGTTGGGAAATGTCGATTGTGACGCGCTTGATACTGGCTGTACCGTAGGTTGTCGATCGAGGTCAACTGACAATATTGCACGCTCCATTCGGCCTACCTGTTCTTGTCTGACTGATCTAGGATGGTTCTCGAAACATCTGGCGTGACTGGAGAGATCATACTTCATTTTGTACGAAGTCTGCAGCGCCTGAGTCAGGTCTTCTTGATTTCTGAAATCCATAGCCGTCAAACGTGGAGACTAAGTGGTCGTCAGGTGTGACATACGAGGCAGCCGAGAAATGCTGAATGTCATGACGTATATTTACGTTGGACTGACTGAGGATGTTTCAAGCGCTACTGTACGAACTAATGACTGAAAATCCTCCGAAATGGACTATTTGTTCACTAATAATTACCTACTGTTCGAGGATTTTCATGTTCATACAATGATAGGAAGTAATGACTAACGCTAGTCATGTTTAACATGTTCCAATGCGAAATACTGCATCGGGAAGTAAACCAACCCACCTTTTACACACCTGGGTAAAATACTTCTTATTCTACACCTCCTCACACTCATGAGAATGGAGGAGGCTAACGGCGGATGACAACTGGCAAACAGTTCTAGAAATTATACAGAATTCTGACCTGGTAATAATAATGATGATATATCTATTCTCAAATATCACTGCGTTCTTGGGTTCATGGCTAAATGAAGACCTACGAACCAAGATGCTCCTGCAATCAATGGTTCGATTGTTGATCTTATCACCCGAGAAATGCCTGATATCTTTGGCAAAAAATTCACCGATCAGTTAACCCAAGTACCTATAAGCTTAGAACACTAACCATCTTCAGTGCCAGTTTATGGCCTGGGGATTATTTGACTTACTCCTAACTTAGTACTAAGAAAACTAAATTCTCTACCCCCAGGAAAGTTACCAGAATATGGCAATATTCACCCCATAGTCTTGAAGCAGTGTGCACAAGCGCTCAATTCACTGGCATGTAACCTATTCTGGCATTCACTGGAGTCACACCAACTTTAAAATGAGTGGAAACAAGCATATCTCTCTCCAATCTTCAAAGGAGGAGATAGGAAGGATGCAGCCTGTTACAGATCGATCGCTCTGCTACCAACACTGTCGAAGCTAATGGAAGAACTGGTAAATAAGCAAATGGAGGAGTACATGAATAAAAACTACATCCTCCATGAGGCTCAACACGGGTTTTGGAAAGGCAGGTTCTGTGAATCCAATCTTCTAATAACATAGACAGCACGACAACCTACTGGGACCAAAAATTACCGGTCCACAAAATGTTTCTGGACTTTTCAGAAGCCTTTGACACAGTAAGTCTCGCACTCCTAGTTGCGAATGTAGCGAAGATGGGTTTCACTGATTCAGTCTTACCTCGGCCCAGAAACTACCATGAGAATAGAAAGTTTCGCACCAAGTTAAATAGAGTGCATGTGAGCTGGCGAGTATCAGCATCAGGGTTATCATAGGGGACAATCTTAGGTCCATCCCTCTTACTGATATTCATTATTGGTCTGGTAGACAAATTTAGCTAGGTCTATTGTTGGTGCGTACTGTTTTTATAGGATTTTGTTCATTGATGCTCTGATAGCGTTATCCTGAAAGCTTTTTTCCGGCTTTACGTCGCTATTGTTTATGATTCTGCTTATACAACCTGGCTACGTTGCTGGTCAGTATTCTTTGATTACTGAACAAATTTAAACTAGTATCGAAATTCAGAACACAGCTTGAACAGGTATTTGTTCTTATTCTAACGACCGACCTGAATGAGTAGGATATGTATTTATACTTTCTACACAAGAATATTTTCGAGTCTTCTCTGGCCATCTACTAGCTCTGACTGGCTAATAGTGAGCCACCCCTGAATTATACACACTTTAATCCAATGCAAATCCTGCTTTCAGGTATGCTGATTCTGAATTAGTGTCTGTAATGCATTTTAATTAGGACAGACTGCAGGAAAACGGAGTGCTTACTTATCTATTGAGATAGTGTTTTACCTTTCGTGTTACTTTAGTCGAAATGTTATCCTCAAGTAGTTGCAGTATCCTCCCGCTGTCCGTCTTGATAGATTGCACATTATGCAAAAACTCCTTGTATGGTCATGGAAAGGTGACTATACTGGATGCTGGTAGATTCAAAACTGATCCCTAACCCCACTGTCCATAGCGAAATAATTAACTAATCGCTGGTAATATGGAAATTTTAATACATGCAAACCTAGCTGTAACAGTCTGATGTCTCAAAAAAGCAAGCCGAAATAACTCTGGGATTGTAGAATAACTAAAAAATTCACTTCCAGATGAAGTAAGCTCTGATTCTGTTACGCAGAGTGATAATGAATACTTTTTAATTCGATCATCAAGCTGACAGAACTCAATAGAACTAAAAACAGCCAATATGTCGAATGTGGCTTAAGATGAAGTAAAAAAACGTATTACTTCTCGATTGCTACTCCTCACTTCTGTTTAACAAACATATGTTTATGCTATTTCTATATTTGTGCTGTGTTGAGAATCGTAATTAGGTCAGTCGAGAAACTGAAATCGTTCTCACAAACCGGGAAAGTTAATCAATACTGAAAATTGAGATACACACGAACTTAAGTACTTGCTACATCTGCAGAAGTTAAACAAAGACGATTGTGTATACTGTTGCACATCTGTTGTTTGTTCTATTCAAAATTCAATATATAACAGTGTTTACATTATTGTTTTGTATGATACAACTTAGGCGAACACTTTTTACACCTATCACCAAACCACTCTCAATATAATTCAAGGGATTGATTATGTAGATTAATATGAGGGCCTAAAACTTTTATGCGAATAACTGTCGATGATCAAAATCATCAAGTAGTTACGTGCAAGAAAATTTCTGATTTCAAAATATATCATTAAAATAAAACAGTAGTTTGATACAAACTATCCGGTCAAGGCCATAACCATCTTAAAATTGGTGAAATAATTGTTCTTGTTAGTTTCTCCATGTGTTTATCCACCACAGCTTTAAAAATGAAACTCAGGTAAAAACCTTTCAGCGAAAAGTAAAATTAGCTGACTGATAAAAACTGACGTTTGAGAAACTATTCAAAGACCATACGGTAGCCGTCGATACCTATCAGAGCTAAGCAATTTTTCGGCAAATATTGATCGTATTATCAAGTATTTCTCTGCCGAAAAATGCTAAGCTTGCAGTTAGACCTGTTTCTAAGTAAATGTCACTCGAAGTAGACCCTATTAATTTTATTTAATCCACTTATGTCTAACCAAGTTCATAATTGTGGTCGTTTTCATTGTTATAGCTTGAAGATCCTATCGATATGACTATCAGATTGCAGGAAATTACTCTAAATTATTCATTCAAACAAAATCATATTTAAGCTGATATTGAATCTAAATAAAATTTAAATTTGATACTCCGACCTTCCCACCAAACACTCAAACGGTAATCTGCGGAAGCGGCTGAATATATTCCGTGTACAAAATGACAGTGCAAGGCCCAAGATATATCACAAAATTAACCGCTTATTCAATACAAGCTTGGTAAGCGGGTCAGATCGCATAAATTAAAATCTATTTAATATATGGATGAAACTTATCTGTGTCGATTGATAGTCGAAATCTGTTTGAGTAAAACATTTAACTAGGAGAACAACACAGTACTGAAATCATGGTTATGAGTTACACAGGTTAAATACTGGTAACTCAGTTTAACTAAATGATTCCTTATCTGAAAATAATAGCAAATTCCAAAAGATTAGAGTAGACTCAATACTTAGAATATTTAACGATATTGTGTATAGTAGTCATGTATATAACAAAATATTCCACAATTTTATTACATCAGGTAACATTTCAATGTTAGACATGCTTAGTCAAGAAACAAAGAATGCATTCTATTCATCACTATTTTAAGAAAAAATGCACTTCAACTAACATACATGAGGGTTTACCAGTTTACATAGATGCTGTTTTCATCTACGACAGAATATGTGTACGTCTTATCATGCCTTGTTTAGAACAGACTGATGACCAATGTGAAAGTCCATCACCACATGCTAAATCTGGTGGTCCAGTTACACAACGACCGATTAGTGTAATAGCTTCTTGTAGTTTACTTCCAGATCGTGCAAACACACTCAGTATTACACACACACTACTAATTTCTTCTTCGATGATAAAATTTAATTTCTCACCCAACATAAACTCTGCTGAATTCACAGAAAGTCGAGCAGTTGGTCTAGATTGAACAGTTCGAAATAATTTCCAATTCGAGCACAATGAAGCACGAACAAATAAATTTTCTAAGAAAAAGAGTACCGAGACAAAGATAAAAGTAAGTAAATAATCAAAATATTACAGTATACCTGGGTATACAAATGAAATGAAAACAGCTTTAAATTATTAATGACTGTGAAGATTGTTGAAGTTGATGTACACCGTCATGAACTACTAGTGGACCAATAACAACTAAAAACAAGGAATCCCTTAACACCTGTTTCTTCATAATACAAGACACGTTGGCAGACAACACCGTCGACTTTATAAGGGGTCGAACCCTGGATAATCAGGTCTCATGATAACAGCCTAGGCTTTGGCCTAAAACCCTTAATGCCCTGGTACCTCGAAGAATGGAGAGATCCCGTTCTGCCTCTCGGAATTGTCTAATATAGCACTCATGTATAGCTGCTCCCAGGGAAGTTCTAGTCACTCCTTCACTCGGCGGTGGTATTGTTTACAAAACTGAGAGGACGAAAAGCGAGTGTCCAGCACTTTAACCGGGTTGGTGGGCATACATGGTTCACCTAGGGGAGTTGGAAAACCCTGATTCCAAAACTAACAATTCACATGGGCTCTAAGATCTTGAGCGAATGGATGATGTATGAACCTGTTAGACCCCGGCTACCGCGGGAATGTATTTCCAAACGTTGCTCCATTACCTTGTAGTTTAGATCTGTATGTGAAAAGCTCATGAATTAGCCCTCTTAAGATAACCACGTGCTTCAGTGTGGATACCCGGACAGTGTCCTAGCCCACACACACTCACTGATTTGTGTGATATTTCAGTCACGTTGGACACATAAACTGTTTATGTTTCGCCTCATAATTATAATAATAATAAAGTGTTTACAATGTAATGTTTATCTAATGGACAAGAACACAGTCATCGGAGTTAGTGACTTGCAAAACTGATTTCTTCTCATCACCTAGGGCATCTATTCTCGCTTATTGTTCTGGTAATAATTTATATACAACTTTGTTCTTTAGTGAGATAATAAATCCCATTTTCATTGTTCATGGTTTTATCTATAAAATCAGTTTATTTTGGGTTTTAATTCACTAACTCGACCTCAGGACCACTCATTACTCAACCACTTGCATTACTGTTACCATCTGTCAGCCAATGTTTTATTGATTCATTTAATAATCTCAACAACCGTTAACCTTGATGAGCACATTTTGTAAGCTTAGTCAAAAAGAATTAAATTTTTAATGGTTATACATTTTAAACCATGGTGTAGAGCTAAAGAAAATTTCCTCCTTAAAATTAAAGTCAACATCTACAGTTAATTTGATTTTAGATAGTCACTCATTAAGCTATCAACATAATGATCTAAAAGTTCTTGGTTGAAACTTCTCTCCAACACATAATTTAAACAGCACAGAAAAAGAGAAAACCAGCATCTCATTACACTGACCAATGAACATGTAAAAGTTAGAAGTACGTAGATTGATTATTGAGTTATCAATCTAATTTTTATCTAGTCGTTGGTTCTGATTAAGTCTTATAGATTGATTTAGAGTATGACTATTATTCTAAGTAACTTGATCTCGCGTATACAATGTTAAGGTGTTAGATGGTTGGAGATAATTTACAGGAAGTCCTAGATTTGGGTTTCGTGCTAGTAGACAGTCGTCAGAAAGGCGTACATACAAGAATTGAGGCTTTTCAAATTCACAATTCAAAGCGTTACAGCTGAAATCTTCGGTCCGCGGCTGACCTCTAGTATAATCTACACTTTTCTGACAAGTGCCAACCAGCACGAAATTAGGTCCAGGGTTTCTTGCTGAGAAGCTCATATGGCGAAACATAAAAATCAGAAGCGTACAAAATACGAACTGCTACATTCATTGTGTTATCAAATATCATTATGTTGAAAAATCCAATTGTTTCTGGTGTGAGACAAAATAAAGAGTGTCATGATTTGTGGAAGTGGATAGTGGCTAGCAGTGGAATCTAAGATGCGCGTTTCGTCTCATTTCGAACTTGTCAGCTGGATGTACCGGAGTCTCAGAATTGATGTCCAGTTCGTAACTCAAAACCAGTAACTTACTCTTCAAACTTCATCTCGTTATCTACTTGGCTATTGAGTCCAGATAGTTACTAAACTGTGCAATGAGATGAAGATTAATTCATCTATATTGCTTGTTTGAATCTTCCCACTGATGATTAGGACAGTAACTGACCATTCTGTTTGGCATAAGTCATGTAAATGCTTCATATAAATGAATATTTGGACAAAAGTTTCGAAGTTCCTCGAAAACTTCGTTATTTCATTGTGAATTTCATTGTCAGATAGTTAATTTAAGTAAAGACTGTCGTGTAATTTTACTAAATCGTAATTTATTTCAACTTATTTTTCATTCACATTTACGTGGTCGAATTAAAAAACAAAAGATATACTTCTACCCCTTACTTGTTCGTTTAGGCAAATTCATTGCAGCACAATTGAATAGGCTGATAATCAGATTGCCATTTTCTTGGTTATACTGCATACCAAAAGTAATCTCTCCTCGTGAATTGGCATTCTATCAATTTTTTAAAATAAAGAAAAATATATTCAACAGAATCGGTAAACGTTATGAGATGCCATTTATTCACTTATGTGGTATTAAGGCTTATATGCAATCATGGTTTTGGTCCTCTCAACTACTACCATTTTCATCATTCATCACATTTTTCCTTGTTAGTCACTATCAGCCTTAACCTACTTTCTTGAATCGATAAAACTTGTATCCACTTTGTGCGATTACAAGGTTTTTTTAAGACTAGAATTATAAAACTTGTGTTTAAAAGCAATCTAGTTTAGACTCGAATGAAATTCGATAATTAGAGTGAAATGGTGTTGGTAATTAGAAGTAACAGACTGATTCAACAATGTTTCGTTAGATATCAAACAATCAGAAATGTATCTATTGAAGAGGGCTTGTGTAGATTGTGTTATTTTCATTGCTAAAATCACCAGTTGATTTGCTCTGGACCATCATTAGAAACGGTAAGAGAGCGCTTAACTTACAGACCAGTGAGTTGGTGTTAATGCCTAACTCCAACCAATTCTTGGTGTTACGCAACCTTCACCCACTGCCTCCGGTGGATAACTGTTTCTTATCCAATACGGATCGAACTCAACTGGTAACGACGCCAGGAAGGTATCGTGGGGCTAATCACTAGTGAGCACATTGTTATTGAAAAGGATTTGCGGAGATTTTATTATTTACAGAGTTGCTGATAGGTCGCATACTAGGTAGAAACAGTCCTCCAGTCGTTCCAAAATTCTAATGGCGGTCTGGCACAGATCAGTTCGTGATTTCAACCAAAAAGAAGTGTAAACTTATAACAAGAGCTTCACATCGATAAGACTGGTTACCATTACCATTTCACTAACCAACTGTGAAGTATTCAAAATGATACTTAACGAAACTGACTACTAGATTTAATTTCAATGTTTAAATAATTAGACAACCGCTAAGCGATAAACGTGAAGAACGTAACTTTAAATCGATATCAGATATTAAATTCCAACGAAGACATGAGATCAATTAATTTTACCAATAAACTAGTACTCGATTAAGACAAGTTGATACTATCAGTACTACCACGTTAAAGAACTTAATAAAAGTCATAATATTACGAATCTGTTCCTACTTCATCAGGAACTTGCAAACACCTGACAAACCACAACAATTTATTTGATAATAATTCCGATGATTTCTCGTTTGTATTGGTGACTTGAGAGATTGGCAAATTCACAACTGTAGAACGACGTAATTTATTCACATTTCCCAACAGATATTGCCACATTTTAAATGTTATGGGAATGCGTACACTACCAATCAACTGTGAAGATCTCCAGTATGGTAAATATTGAACAGTAGCAGTTCCGTGTAGATCATTTGTCTTACATGCGTTACGTTCTTTCAAATCTATTTTAAGCTCATAATTCTGCATTGCACCATCTTCCAAACTTATTGATGAAATTGACTCGATGGATTCATTAAGTGAAGTTGACTGGTTAATTATTGCATCGATTATATTCAGTGGTAAAGGTATGACGATTTTATACCGAAACACTGGTGAACGATAAGCACGTTTCACAGGAGTACGACCACTATGCATCGTTGAACAATTTCTTTTCATTGTAAATATATCCATCTTATCAGAAGAAATTTTCAGTGACTTTGTAGACACTTGATCTAAGGATAACATTGACATATAATTGTTTGTGCCTAAAAAAGGTATCCAGTAAACATTGATACCATAAACAGTTTTGTACTGACTTTAGCATATGACGTAAATTTATATGTATGTCATTCAGCAACAATTTTTAACACAAAAGTAGGTCAACTGGTACCTATCTGATTCCTAAAGATTATGGAAAGATCAAAATCGGTCGTCATTGGTAAAGGCTTTATCATGTCTGTTAAAATTTATTAACAAGGTATGAACAGTATGTTTCAACTCATGAGAGCATCAAATTGATTTGATACATGTTTAGAAACATTCAATAATGAATATGATGTACATGGGTTGATTTCTGGCTGATAATATATGCCATATTTTCTAAGCTTCGTCACTAATGACTCGCATATGATTTTATAAGTGTGGTACTAACTAGCCTAATTAAACTGCTTAACTGGGAAACTTTCGTTGTCATTGTACACAATCATGACTAATGGATGGATTTTGTCAATAATTTATTACCAACGTAAACCCTATACGATGACCTATTTCTTACATTGTACGCCTTTCGCATTCTGTCTAGACCTATAGACATCAGGTAAGAAGAGACATGAATCACTCACCAGCTAATTGAAGACGTGCTTTCACATAAAATTTTCCTGCTTTCGGGTCTACATTTCTACTCAGAACACAGCGCGCATCAAATATTCGTACAGAGAGAAATGGATGCTTTTTACTGTTGGACAGATCACCTTCGATTTGTATAGCTAGGGTAATGTAACCTCTTTCTGGTATACCACGTTCCTTTATCCAGCTTGGATATCTAATCGGTATGAATGGTAATTGATTAATTTGGTTTTCTGCTGATTCCAATGTATCGTTCGCTTCTGAGTCTTCAACGCTATCGATCAACGTGAAGTCCGCAATATCCTCATCATTTTCATCGTTCACTTTGAAGAATTTATGATCATCAAATGGTCTACTATTGTTACCGGCATTCTCTTCATCTTCCTCTTCAGGATTGAATGAAAGATTTATGTCGACATTGTTTGATTGATTATTAATAAGTTTCTGAATATAATAGGTAAACAAAGTAAACATGAATCATACACTGATATGCACTTATATTCTAAGTTCAGCAAAAACCAACTTTAAATCTTCAAATAAAAAGCGCTCACAAAGTTGACACAGTTTAGGTTTATTCATTACATTCATATCATGATGAATTTGAAGTATTAAAACATGCTACAAAAATTGCTAAACAGTTAAAATTATCACCGCCTTCTGTTTACGTATATTCCGTAACTTTTGCGCTACAGTAGCATGTTTACTATGACTCAAGTAATGTTTCCACTTTTTCCAGCCTGGTATTGATCACAAATCCTCAAATAAATCTTGCGAGTGGACTCTTGAAAGGTTATGATAAGCTTTGGGACTTATAACAACCATGCACGAGATCGAACCTAGAATATCAAATAGCTTTTCGGATGATGTCACTTCTGAATGAAAACTAAATTCAGACTAAGTATCTTAGTTAATTCATCGTGTTAGTTAAAGTTTTCAAAAATTTTACAGTGTGCAGTTAATGTTAACAGATGATGTTGAGTACATTTATCCGAAAGACGACGATTTGAAAAGTTAACTATGAAAATGGATCCGACATTATTTCAAGATCTACGTAGCATAGTCAAAATATAATTAGTAGAATTAATCTAAGTTCAATTCTCGATTGTAGGGTCAAGGATGGCAGTACTGAGGAGTCCCAAACAAGCAAAGGGCGAAGACCATAAAACACATTTCTCTGAAAATTGTAAGTCTTTCTTGAAATTACCATTCAGAATTAAAGTGGACTGACCTATCAAGCTATTTAAGTAAATATTTTTTGTATCGGTAGACACATCATGATATTAGTTCAGTACGAAACAAACTACTGCGTACCATTTTCATTCGGGCAACGAATGCAGTATATTGTCAAAACTCGAGTGAATCTATTCACATTTCCGGATGCAACGTATTTAACAGATACTGAGTCTTAAGTTTATGAGTGATGAGATGATCATAAATCACATTTGCAGGATGAACAGATATATTGTGTTACTGCAATTGTTCACCACACAAAACACTTCTGTTAGTATAATCTGCCACATTTGTTCAGGATTGAAGCATCAAATTTCGTATAACAGCTGATGATTAGGTAGTTCTTTTTATACTTGCCTTAGTTTTCCTAAATAAATAAGTTAAAATAATGATTAAACGTCGTGCACTTAACTCTGTATAATTCAAAAGACATGCACTTTATTTTAACCGCATGAGAAGCCTATGAATAACATTTGGATAATTTGTAAATGTTGTGAATTCAGTTATTTGTTAATAACTAATAACAAACAAATGAGGACTAACACCTACAAACCATTTGATACAGTTTGATCCAAACAGTTTATGACTTCGTTCTAAGTATTCCCAGGTGAACATTGAAGTGATGGTTTACCTCATGAACTGGCATTAACTGGGACACCTTTTAAATCAAACAACATTCTACTTATTTTAGTTTACTGCACTCCTTATTCACAATCTCACAGTAGGTAGAACTGAAAAGTTATTGATCTTGCAGTAAACACAATACCGGTAAGTTGTTGTATTGGTGTTTTGAGGAAAACAGTTAATTGATTGAGCAATGAGTTGTATTCTTAGTCAAGTCACTTAGTTTATTGACTTGTCAAACTACGTGCATGCATTAAAATATTGATCAAATAATGTTAACTACTGCTCACTCAATACATTCAAATTTATCTGTAGATATATTTGTTATGTATATATAAATGTCTTGTTTTACTCCTGGCGTCGGCATTGCAGTCCTGCTGTATCGTAATAAGTATTTCTCTTGAGATGACGAACCGTTCTAATTTAGACTCCTGAAAGGTTCGTATACTAGGATAGAATCGTAGTCCAGTGCTTTCAGTTTTACAATGGTTGTCTAACTTAAATCAATCAGTGATCTGAATTAAATTCAACAATTTCCACATTCCTGCACTGAAAATAGTTTTTATTACAAAAAGATTGTACAAATAAAAAATGCATTAAGTTAAACACTAAATTTAGTTTACAATCACTTACCGGTATATTTGGTGTACTACTTGCACGACGAATACCTCTGCAATTTCTATCAACTAGCAGATTTGATTTTGACTTTTCCTGATCATCCGTTAATTTACGGAAATTTTCATTTTTTCTTCTCAATTCAGCCGACTAGAATGTAATTATTGCAGTGAAGAATATGCTTTAAAAATAAACACTTCTAAACATCAATTATAAAAACGGTATTATGCATCGTTATATTTCTAATGAACTCATTATGTTATACAATCAGTTTCAGTAATCTTCTCCATTACTATGGAATTATTAAAACATGAATTTAATAGGGACCTTCTCGACAGAGTTTATTTCACCAAACAAAATACATTCACAATTTTGGAATGATATTCAAAACTTTGTTTAGACTCATCATCAAACTTACATACTAACATAACTCATCACGTTACAGATGTCGCTTGTGCAGTGACATCATGTACTTGATTTCTTTCCTACATAAAATTAACTGAGACGTGCTGGGTATACTGATCCACAGTCGAAAAAGGATGTTTCACAAGAGCTGCTTGGTTTCATATTAAAATATAACACAAATTGGTAAGTAATGCTTTCATGTTGGAACTGTATCACCATATTTGGGCTTGTTAAATGTGTTCTGATGATTTGCTTCAAAAGCAGTGTTATTGACAAGTACTCTAGAAAAGAATGAGAACTTCTCTCTTATTCCTCAGTTATTTCTAAAAAATGATTAATTTTTTTTACAATAAACGACTTTTATGTTGATTTCCACTTTGTTGAACCTTTTGAGTGGAATAAATAATTCACCCAACTTTCTCTAAATGACATCAGTTGTTCAAGTATTGAGTATTCACTGAAGCGTTCTATTTATTCAACCAATTTTTTGATCAAATTAGGAAAACTATTCAATGGTATGAATTAAAAGCCATTTCCAATATATGAATAAATATGTTAACTGAACTGTTAAGTATGTCGGTAAATCTCGTAAATCTCTCGACATAATGGTTGCTACTTATGAATGTCATGAATTAAAAAACATCGTTTTTCGACTAAGTACAGATTTTCAGTACAGTTAATGAAGATTCAAAGAATAAAAAGCCGATAAAACCATCAGTCTTCATTTTCGAAGGCCACGTTAACTTCTGAGTTTCCCGGTCTCCGATTCCCTTTTCAAATGATCACTAATATAATGAATTTGAAGAGATCATTTGTGGGCATAGACATAACAAAAGAGAATGAAACAGCGAGGTATTTGTAACACTTAATTTATGATGACCTCTAGGTATTTTCTGAATAATGGAAAGTAAGATGAGGCAAACGGAGAGTTATCTTTTTAAACATGTGAGTAAAACAACGCTTTCGTGCTTTTATTAGAATGGACCAATTAAATAAATCGCGTGACGTTTAACCTAAATGTACGTTTACAGAAAAAGACGTCCTCTGACCTACCTCATTTATCATTGAAACCTTTCGAGAACGTCAATTATCAAATACAGGTTATACAGACTATTAAACATGAAGTGAATTCTATGTCATCGTTGTTTTAACTGAGCAAAATAATGTAAATCATATTGTGCATACTTCAAACTTAATTTCAGGTGACTAGAAACAGTTCACTTATCAAGGTTTATGAAAAGAAACCAATTAGAGTTTTATGTATAGTTGATTCTTGTAATAAACAAATTGTAACTAAATTTCATCAACATCGCAAATATAATAACAATAATATCATTACGGAGTTGTGGAGATTGTTAAGTTACACATTTGAAATCATAAAATCGATCAAAGTTAGACCACCATTAGAAACCTGGAAGAACTGGACGGCCGTTTCGTCCTGGTATGGAACTCATCAGCAGTGCGCATCCACGACTTCTGCACCTCGCAGATTTCGAACCCAGGACCTTCGGTCTTGCGCGCGAATGCCTAACCTCTGGACAACTGAGCTGGCACCCAATAGCTTTAATGTCTAATAATAGATAATATTGCCACATTTTTACAAAGTAACATTAAAAGCAGCAACATTCTAAATATTGTTTTTTAATTCCATGTATAAGATAACTGGAAATCAGGTTCTTAAACGAGAATATAGAAACCATAATCTGTTGACACTGTTATATCCTAGAGGTTTGTAATGATTTTATTTTAGCTATATTCTATGAACACAATACTACACTAAAATATCCATGCGATATTGGATCATATGGCTTATTAGCCTATGTGAATGAATTAATCCATAGATTGCAACTAAACAAGTATTGCCGTTTTGTATAATCAACTCTTAAAAACAGTATTTCACTACCTCAAAGCTATTCAAAATATTGATATACTTCAGTATAAAACTATTACTTCATTTTCAGCCGCTTTTAAGTATCTGAAAATTCAGTTGAGATTTCATTTTTCGTTAAATCTGACAAACTTTATGTCCAGCAGATTGTAAACTATTCCCATCACAGCAAACTATCTGTCGTTTATTTAATAAATATGTATTTAAAATGAGTGATATATATACAAAAAGAAACGAAAGGTGATTAAATTAGACAGTACGAAACTCCCATAACTATATTTTAATCAATAAACACTACGTTCTATTTACTTCTTAAATACTGTTGCATTACCTATCTACTGTAACTAATACTCATTCATCCAGTCAGCTGAAATGTAAAACTTCGTACGTACTTATATTGTTTCAAGTTACCATACCACATTAGCACAAAGATGCAATTGTCAAATCACGTCCCAATGTAGAAGAGTTAGTACAATTATGAGCAGTATTTGAAAAGTTCACGGTTCGAAGATAATATTGAAGAGGCAAAATCAAGTGAAATAGATTTCAGAAGAAAAAGAGGAAGATCATAAGGAGTTAAAATTCGAATTTAGAGAATGCAAAACATGGATGCCCCTGCACCATCGTAAACAACTTCGGTTTCACCGACCCCAACTAGGTAGTCTACACTTACCAACATGTCTCAGTCCACTTGTCAGTGGCTTGGTGGATTTTTGCCATGTTTTGGTTCGGCCAACCTTAGCTTTCTTCCAACCTACTCCTACACCACAAAACATAGCACGTCGAGGCAGTAGGTGGTTAGTCATATGTAACACAGGTCCCACCCACCTCAACTGGTGAAGTTTGAATACTTCATCTATTGATCTACCACCCTTAGCTAGGACCAGTTTTCTAACTATAGCATAACTTACTCGGCTGTTCCAGGATACACGAGCAATGCTTCGAAGACATCTATAATCGACTACTAATAAGCTACCAATGTCCTCTACTCTCACCGACCATGTTCCGCATCCATATAGTAGGACAGAGCGAACTGATAAGCAGTACACTCATCCTTTGCTTAGCGAGCGGATATCTCGCCTGCGTAATAAGTGACGCAAGTTGGCAAAAGCCAATCGAACCTTATGTATCCATGCTGAGATTTCGTCAGTCACGAGGCCATCAGCACTGGTGAGAACCCCAGATAAGTGAAGCGGTCTACACACTCGACTACTTCACTCCCTATCACTAGTTCAGGTACCGACGATAGCCAATCCTGAAACAACACTTTACATTTCGAGGGGGAAAACCGCATCCCAAACATGCTTGCATTGTTGCTTAAGGTGGTGGTCAAAAGACTGTATTTTGTCAGCGTCTTCACCGAACAGAATTATGTCATCAGTAAACTCCAAGTCAACAAGCGTTTCTCCTAGGAGTAGGTTCAACCCTGACAAGTGAGAAGATAATGTCGACGGTAAACTTAAACAGGAATAGAGAGTGGACAGTCGTAACTAACACCATTTGAAGTAATCAATTCCGATGACAGTTCTCCATGAGTTCTCACTGAGCCAGTTATGTTCGAGTAGGGAGCCTGTACAAGGTTAATACATTCCTTTCATACTCCTTTCAATGACAAACACTGTCACAGAACGCTGCCTGTAGGTCGAAAAATGCAACTATTGTCGGACATCAGAACATGTGTCTATGTTCTAGGACCTGACGAAGTGTGAATATTCGGTCTACACATCCACGTCCAGATCTGAAACCAGCATGATTTTCTCGATTCTGTTCTTCATAAGCTCTAGTTAGGCGTCGAAGTTTTGTTGAAGCTAATATCCTACGCTCTATATTATTTGAACTGATTCCTCTGTGATTGCTACAAGAAGACTTTTGTCCGTCCTTACAGACTGAGTCAATCAGTGATTGAGACCAGTCAGATGAGATTATGTCCAGTTCCCAGATTCTATCTTAGATCTCAGTCAATGTAACTGTTAAAACTGGACCACCATCGTTATGTTTCTTTGGGGGTTAGCCTTTCAGGACCTGCTGCTCTCCCTGGTTTAAGATGGCATGTAGCCTTTACAACCTCCTCATTACGAGTCTGAGGACTTACATCAACTTGCCATTCAGGTTGTTTGAAGAGGGTGGGTAACCGAAGTGTGGCTGAAGGCCAGTTGAACTGCTCCCTAAAGTGTTCTGTCCATTGATCCGATCTCCTGTATTGGAAGTGAGTAACATTCCCATCTTTTTCCGAGATATTCTCACCAACGTTTGGATTTCCTATACCGGTTTCTTTGGTAAATCTGAATAGTTGTCTACTGTTCACTCAGACAATTCACTAGTAATGTTTAAATAGCCGTTGAGTGTAACGTAATTGCTATAACAATCCCCTAACTTGGTTTTTTTTGTTGCCCATACCATCAAATTTTATTTCAATTTCTAAACCTTTACGCTATGAAGTTCGTTTGCGAAATGACTGGAGTTAAATGTGTGATTCTTTGAATGAATAGTCAGCGATCTAAAGGTTGCGAAAGCAACTCTTTGTAAGCATTATCAATGTACTCCACTGATTAGCCATGAACTAGAATAAAATAACTTTTTATTGACACCTGATTTTCAATGGTTTTCTAATCAACTTCATTCCGTGATACAGAACTACACAATAAAGTTCAGTATCTTATACATTAATCACCTCTTAAGCGAGTGGATAAGAGAAACGGAAAGAATGAATTCTGCTTCGGTGATAAATATTGATAAACCCTGTTTTAATTCTTCAAGATGATTTAAATCCAAAAACAGCACAAACAAAAAATCACTAACTTCACCATAGAAATAGAGATTCTGGAACTGATACACATACTGAAATTATACTGTTATTGATAAGATCAAGACTAACATGAATCATACGAGTTGTAATATCATTAATTTATTTTGAAGTAATGGACATTTTCATTGTCAGTTCTTTTGGGATTTCAACTATTGTTAACGTTGGATTAGCAGGTATAAAGAATACTCACTAGTATTTATGATAGATTTCCTATAGTTGATTATAATCAATCGCACACCAAGAGTGACATTTTCTAGTGAAATTCAAGATTTGTTGCTACAAAACTTTTTATAATGCCGGCGACACTTGTATTCTGTTTATGAAACAAAACGTTAACCGTCAAGGATGACGAAGAAACTGCTACGGTTCGACTTCTTGAATTTAATCATACTGAATAGATTTGTCTACCTGGTGATACAGATGTAATCTAAAATTTAGAGCATCGGTGATCTACTGTGAAAGTCACAGTAAACATAAAATACTCACGCATTGTAAATCATAAATTAAACAATACTTCGTCTCGATTAATTTGAATGAGGCAATCGTATACTTTTAGATCAACACTTAATGCTACTAAGATAATATCGTAAGTAAAGTTAATACTTAATTACTACAAAACGTTCAACATATTGAATTAAGCTATCGAAAATAGAATAATAAAAAAACAGAATAATATCGTCTCATTACAAAAATAATAACTTCAAATTGTGTAATCAGCATCTCCGGCCTCAAGATTAGCTTCTAAAAACTCGAAAAATTTGTAATTTGACTGATTATACTAACTAATGTATCAACAACTAATTTGAATGTTCAAGTAAACATTTAAAACAGTTTAATATCTGCATAAAGCGACTGTAAGAGTCGTCTTACCATCGTCTTCTGTCATAAATTCTAAATCACCATTCTCAAACAAGAATTTCGACTGAGACGTACTTGAAGTGACTCTGAAAATACTAGTCAATGTTAAGAGTATTTTATATCTATATTACATTCATAGATTCTCTAAGTTGATAAACAATCTAAAAGACTGTCAAAATCTTTAGTTTTCCTAGCTCAAGACTTGATATTTCCCTCCGTCTCAATGATAACTATGGTTTATGAAAATTAATTAATTCTAAGTATTAGTGCTTACTTACTTCAATGAATTGCTGAGTAGATTGTATTACATCTGATTTAATATAACTGGTTTGATGACGTACTGAATAACCATAAGTAGGTTTACATTCAGTCAGTTCACCATAAAAATCATCGCTGTCATCAGCCGTCCAGTATGCCATTTTGTTGTTCGGTTTATTCAGTGATTGCAACGGAATGTTCACTGACTTCACTGCTGTCTCTGGTGTGTGAATTTGTGTATATCGAGCAAGTGGAACTTTTTCTGACTTCGTAAAACAAATATATTCATCAACATTATCATCACTTTTACATTTACCATTGAGAATTTGTGAGTGACTTCGGAATCGACGATATAATGCATATATAAGCAATGATAATAATAACAACACGATAAGCAATATTCCAAACAAAATAATTATAAAGTTCTTTGTTAGATACTTTTCAGATTCTATGTCATTTTGTAAATAATTGCTACTGCTAGTGTTATTGCTGACACTGCCCTCCAGAAAGCGTTTTCTTCCAGAGGGCATGACTTGATTTTGAGCTTGTTTGCTTATATGTACGTATGTTAAACCACAAACAATGCTTATTAGCGCAGATTATCGACTGTTATTACACACTCAGTATGCACTAAAATGCTGTAATCACATTTCGTTGTCAGTAATACTCAGTTAATTTTGTATATATTAGTACTAATAATAATTCAACGATGAGTGCATAATTTTGATTGAATATTTTATTCGATTCATTTGGATTTGTATTCAGTATCGATTAAATTTATATTTCTCATGTTATTGACTGATTTTGTCTAGAATTATTCATAACCATACAAATAATAATCATAAGGATTCGAAAATTCGGTGAATTTCATTTTTTCAAAATGGTCACTGATGTATTATTCATTTCCTGTAATACATGTGTTCTTTGTATGATTTAACATCGAATTTAGTGATTAGTAATAAGGAAATAATCATTTTGTAAATTGCATTCATTACACGGTGATTTTAGTTTAGATAAATTTGAAAAGCGACGTATAATAGACAACTATTGCTTCTCTGTACTTGACTCTTTAGCAGTCCGTACTCATGACTTCAACGACGATCGAACTCAGGACCTTCAGGTTTAGTACCAAACGCTTAATCATTGTATCCTAGTCACAGAAGTTACTATTTTACTATTCAAATCCTATTTGAACATTACCATTCTCAATAGTGTGAATACGGTTTGCTTGTTTGTATCGACTAACATAAAAGTCTATCTAAAAGGTCTTCAATGGAATACATGTAATCACCTGAGAAAGCGATGAAGTATTTTACTACAAAAATAATCAGACTCAATCATATGTGTAATTTCGAATAATCAGCAAATGATAGCTGTCAGTCTTTTAGTTTCACTTCAACTATTTTTTAAATTTTTCATGATATTTCTGGTAACAATGAATTCTTGAGAAAATTATGGAAATTAATTTTTTCAAACATTTAGGTTGACAGGTGGAGTAAATAGCAGTGGAAAACAGGTCGGTCGTTCCTTCCTATTTAGGACTTGTCTATGAGATGTACCTGCATCCTACTATCAATGAATAAACTGGTAGCAATCTTGTCTTATTAGCTTGATGGATAATGTATTGTCGATTGGGAGTAAAATATTTTGGGTTAGGGTTGTGATTCAAACAACAACACTGGGATGTATGACATGTTCATCCAGACAACAAGCCCCAAATTTGAACGAAACATATATCCTAGATTCCATTAATGGTCATATACTGTCAAGTTCCTTTTAGGCTTGTAATCGAATGGTTATATCGAAGCATTGAGATTACGATTCATCGATGTCGAGACTAATGGACGTCTGGTATATTACATCAGGCACTTACGAATGAACAATTATTTCTCAAAGTTCTCGGTAATCTTCAAAAAACAATAGAAACGAACCAAAACGTATTGGTTGTTTCATGACCTTTATATAAATTTTTGATCAAACATTTATAGTACACTAATTGGGTTGAATTTTAACTGTTGGTAAGTGGTTTCTTTCTCATGAATGATTTTCAATAATACGTTTAATGAGTATAATTGCCATTTTGATTACCTGCTTGGAAGGTAACAGATTATTTAAAGTTCTTTCTTTTGTTTAATGATCATGGTTCTGATGTTAAAGAAATTTCATGATAATCAAAACTCAAAAATTACCCTGCCCAACCCAATGAGTTTACCTATTTTCTGGTTGATGACTTTCTCTCTTTGAATTTACGATTTTGTCATATTTCCCATGATTACTAATATACTATAGAAAAAACATGTTAGTTGATTTCCTATTTTCTTTTATCTGTATATGGTGAAACCTTTTTCTCTTTTCTTTGATTTCTGTCGTTAAAAAGAATACGTTCGTGTCAGGTATCAGTAGTTTATATTAGGTGTGTATAAATATGAGAAATTACATTCCAACCCTTAACTGACCTACATATAGGTACTTCACTATTTTCATCATAAAAGAAATCTATTACTTTTTATTAGGTTGGAGTTCAACTAAAAAGTGTTGTCACTACCTTCAAGTGATAATTTGTGACGTTTGCCTTTCAAAGATATTTTCATTATAACTTGTTGTCATTTAAGGTATCAGTGAGAAACTTGGATGAGAAACTCAAAATAAGATAAGAATTGAAACAACTAGTTTACGGTTTCTGAGCGTTAAGTCAAAAATTAATGACTTTTATCTTCTACTGAATAAAATACACAACAGAAATACTTTTGTACAGTGTTAGAACGTAATAGTTTTGTCGTCATAAATCAAAAATTTCAATCCTGTACGTGTTAAATACGAAGTTTACAAATACATGCGATCAGTCAGTTTTCCTTTCAGCTTATTTTGTCTAGTATTTTTGGAGAGGAATTGTTTTCTCAGAAAAATAATGAGTAAATCGGTGAGCATAAAGTTTTTTTATATTGACATGGAGAGTACTGTAGTTCAAAGAATATAAACTGGAGTGTGGTAGCGAAAGTAAAATGTGATCGGTCATTAGAGAGAGGTATAGAGAAATACAATACAGAAATTCGTACGTAAGTACATCAGTTCAGGTTGCCATACCACATCAGCACGAGACGCAACTGTCAGTCCAAATCCAACAGTGTTAGCGATAGTAGAATTATTAGCAGTAATGGAGAAGATCAGGGTTCGAAGATATGATTCGAGAAGTATAATTCAGTGAGATAAATTTAGAAGGAGAAAGATAGAGATTATGAGGAATTCAGAAGGTTAGAATTTGAGAGAACACAAAGAGTGGATGCATCTGCGCCATTGCAAACGATTCTGAGCCATATCGTTCAAGGTCTCTAACCATTGGTGACTTTCGTCTCGCGGACCCCAACCAGGTAGCCTACATCTACCAACATGATTCAGTCCACTTGTCAGGGATTTCATTGATTTGTGCCATGGTTTGGTTTAACCACCACTAGCTTTCATGCAGCCTACTCCTACAACACAAACTACGCTCGTCAAAGTAGTCGGTGGTTGGTCATACGTAACACAGGTCCCACCCACCTCAACTGATGAAGTTTCAATACTTCATTTATTGACCTGCCATCCCTACCTGGTACTTGTTTCCTAACTACAGCATTGCTTACTCGGTTGTGCCAGGATATACGAGCAATGCTTTGAAGACACCTGCGATGGAAGACAAGCAATCTGCGAATGTCTTCCAATATTACAGGGCATGTTTCGCATCCATATAGTAGGACGAAGTGAACTACTATACAGAAAACTCGTCCTTTAGTTAGCGATTGGATATCTTGCCTGCACCATATGTGATGCAACTTGGCAAAAGCCAACCGAGCCTCCTGTATCTGAGCTGAGATTCCGTCAGTCACTAGGCCATCAGCACTGGTGAGACTCTCCAGACAAGTGAAGCGGTCTTCACACTCGACTACTTCACTTCCTATCACTAGTTCAGGTACCGACGATAGTCAATCCTGAAACAACACTTTACATTTCGAGGGGGAAAACCGCATCTTCAACATGCTTGCATTGTTGCTTAAGGTGTTGGTCAGAAGACTGTATTTTGTCAGCGTCTTCACCAAGTAGAACTATGTCATCGGCATATTCTAAGTCAATAAGCGAGCCACCTGGTAGAAGGTCTACTCCTGAAAATTCAGACGACGATAAGGTTATTTCTAGGAGCATGTCTATGATAAAATTACACAAGAATGGAGAGAGTAGACATTCCTGACGGACACCACTTGAAGTAAAGAATTCCGATAACAGTTAGCGAGATTGAATTGGTCATAATAGAATCCTTCACACATACCCTAACATCTCTATTATCTCCACGACTAACTCTTCTCATTTCCCTTTATCACTTCTGCGTTGCATCTGTCTGTCATCGTTTGCAGTAGCGGTGCAGCGTGATAAAGGAAAGTGAGAAGAGTTTGTCGTGGGGATAATAGAGATGTTAGGGTTTGTAAGAAGGAGTCGATTGTGACCAATACGGTCTCGCGTGCTGTTACGTGCATGAGGGTGGTTGTCACTTCCCGCCTGCCCACACCGTGGAAGATTTTTTCTTGAGGAACCTGAAAATGAAGGTAGATTAATGTTGGTCTTGGAGACCTGGGACCGTGATCTCAGAGTCCAAGGGACAACTGCTTGAGGCCGGTCACACACGGCCTTTTTATGAAACGTTTTTTGAGGATTAGCTCCACTCTTAAAGGCCCTTAGTGGGCACCCTCACCGACGGAGACGGAAATCCGGGAGGTAGGGTGATGTGTGACATTTTTAGGGTCGACGTTTTCTAACCCTTCCTTCCTTGTGAGAAGGCAGCATCGATGCAGACGCTGGTTACCTCAGGGAGACACGTTACTGCTGTCACACTCGTCTTCAGTCAGCAGTACGACTTCGCCCTCAGACCTTGAGTAGCTGCTTTTAGTCTCATCGTTCTCCAATCGACCTGCCTGGCATGGTAGAACCTTCAGGAACATATGTTGCAGCCAATATAGCTCAGTCGTGTCATCAAGATAGGCAAGCTACAGCATCACATTTAGGTAGGAGCTACGGTCGGGGTGATTGATCATTAGGCAAATGAAATCACATATTTAGTAGCTAGTAGACCAAGTCCTTGTTTCTACATGCGTAATGATAGTGATTAGTCATTAGGTATGTGGAAAACATGATCTTCGTCTACTAGCTACTACTGATTTTCTTTCTTCATATTGATTTCTACTCCGGAATCGCTGGGGGTGACCGCTTGCAGTTGTGTGGAATGAAGTATTGACTTGTGTTATTCTGGTTCGATGTTTGATCGTGAATCAATTATCTCAATTAAATGAACCATTTGAGTATCCAATCCAATGGAATCATAAACTTAGTTATCAGACCAGTTTCACTTGATTACATCATCGTAGCTTACTGTAGGGAAAAATATTCCCTCAGCCTCCGTTATAACGTGAATGATATCATGATTAAGATTTTTTAGGTGAGGATGAATTCCCGATGCAAATTTTGATGACTATAGAGCCATGATCAGAAAATAGCATATTATTCATATTAATCATAAGATCTGGCGACATTTCAACAAAATCAAGATGGAGAAACACGTGACAAGCTTTTAATAACCAATAGACTTCCTAATACTACTAGATTCAAACGGATTTCAAAATTTATTTTTCGAAAAACTTATGATCAAGGCAGATTGCTGACCAGCAGAACACAGTGCTTCAAAATGATAAAACTGTTTAAAGAATCACTCAGTCTCATCCTTATACTATTTTTTTGATTTAGTGACAAACATGTCATTAAAAATCCACATGGATTTAATAGACATATATAATATGATCATCTAGTCAGAGGTATTAGAATGAACCCGCGATGTAATCGATTATTCCTAATAGTTTAACAAACGAAAAAGTCAAAATCAAAGAGAGTGAGTGAATTTACTATTCATTTCGATTATTATCATTTTCAAGGGAGATAAAGTTACTTTTTGTTACTCCAATGTAAATAGACTTGTGAACTAGGCAGTTATAAATTTTTAATAATAACAATAATTGTAATGATAACAGATAAGATGAGAAAAAAAAGCAGTAAATAGTCAATTTTATTTTTAACGAAATTATTAGAGACATAGAAGAGTGTATGTATGAGAAGGTGACAGCAAGACAAAGTACTTGAACTCACGCTAAAATCATTTTGATGTTATTAATAACGCAAAGAAAAGAGATAAATGTGGAGAAATAACAAAAAAAGGTACGAGAAAAGGGTCACTTATATAGGTATGTGTGTAATAAACGTTTGAAGGTCATACGGGAAATATATTTCATAGTTGTTTTTTTTTTAATTGATACTTAACACGTATGGTGCATAATTAATAAGATAATGCAAACAAGACAAGTAGAGAAATGGCATTTGTGATTACTATTTTTTTTTCGAATGAAACTGAGCTACATGTTCTGTGTGGGGTTTAGGTGTGTTTGTGCAAATGTGTGGATTTGGTTCATTAGCCGCCTATTTTCACAGACTATTACTAGTATTATATATATATATATATATATATATATATATATATATATATATATATATATATATATATATATATAAAAGCACAAAGCTCTAATCAAAAATGACCTGTATGTGTATGTTTGCACGAAAGTCACGAAAAACGCAAAAATGTGGTTTTTGGATGAGCCTTAACACAATGATTTTGTTTTGAAAGGGAAAAAAGAGCTCATCTAAAAGTTGTTTTTGTCATAAATCTACCGCTAGAAATTTTCAAACTCATCTTCAACAAAGATCTCAAATAATGAAGATGACACAAATTTGGTGTATAGGTAAATTTAGGAATAGGTATGTAAATTGGATAATAGATGTATAACTAAGGGAAGGTTAAGTATACAGGATTACGTATGTGTATGGTGATTACACTATAGTTCACTTTTCAAACAGTTTTCACACATCATTATTAAAATAACAGTATTCTTTGGATTGTCAGATTTGTTGTTCACTAAAAGCCAACATACATACACTCATACATATATAGGAAGGAGTAAGATGCACAGGATAAGTATGTACTGAATACAATTGATCTAAAGCTAAAAACGAAGCTGAAAAATGAACAAATTGGGGATAGAGGGTTCAGAAAGAAGTATTAATAATAAACATTAGTAGAAAGCGTTTGCAGCAATGTTAATCAATTGCGACTTTTCTTCGTTGATGTCGTTATTAGGATACAGTTCATTATTCGTTAATAAAATTAAACTGTTAGTTGCTGATTTACTCTTCTTCTGGTGCTAAACTAGCTGTCGGTTTACGAGCACGATTCTGTGAAAAGAAGTAAAAAAATGTTAATACTTCGTATTTATATCGGTTATTAATCAAAAACATTGAGACTAGTTTATGGGGGGCTTTACTTATAATTTAAAGATACTTATCATCATCGAGCTGATATCGGTTGGAATATCTGTGAAAACTAGAGTAAAAGTACCAGGAAGTTATTGCTCCATTCCTAATAGACTACTCATCATAAGTGTTCACCTCCGATACTACTCATACATAGAATTAGACGATGGTACTTAGGGTTTGGGTATAAAAGTCACCGTAATAGAATACTTGGCTAATACTTAAATATTGCAGATTATTATAATAGCTCAACAACGTTGAGGCACAATATAACAGTGATAGCCATTCAAGTCTAAAGTGTTAATTTACCTAGATCAAGGTAAGTAAATGGCGTTGATGATTGCTACTGCTGAAAGATCTGAAAATTAGAGTAACTATATGTGCATTCCCTTTTATCTTTTCATCAGTTAGCTGATATATTGCTGTGGTTAATTATTAAATATTAGCTGTGCACAAGTTTCATCTCTGAAAATTACTAATACTGATTTTCCAAAATACTAATTTCCACACTTTTCATACAACGTTTAAAACCACTGATCACGTTCACTTAGAGAACTACAACCGGGTTGTCTGAACCTACCTACATAGCTCAAACCAACAACCAATGACTTCATAAACCGACCCTACATTTTGATTTGGCAGTCCGCATCTTCGTTCTATTCTACCTCTACTCCAGCAAACGTCTGTCGGGAAGATAGTGGATAGGTATACTCACCATCTTATCACCCAACTTTCCAACTTTATCTAATATACTTTGTATAACTTCACAATTACTCGCTTGGTGGTTTCAACATGTGAAAGAGATACTTCATAAGCATTTAAGGTCAGATGTTATTAACCTATGAATATCCTGAATTCTTATACAATGATAGCGTATCAAAGAGCGAATGGCCATACCACTAAAAATAAACGAAGTTCCTGGAATTCGAATGAGCTTTCTAAATCCATGCTAAGATTTTTCAGAAACTAAGTAACCATAGCTGGTGAGATTTTGAAACAACTCAAGTTGATAATTTTATCTAACAGAATAGCTAACCATACAATCAGTGTAGTAAATCATGAAAAAAAGGCTTACTGCATGTCCAGGTCCTCCTGCTGGTGCAGCACTTACACCACGAGCCGTTGAAACAGATGATCTATTCTTAGCTCGAAGCTTTTGTAATGCTTGTTCAGCCTGATCAGCACGCTCTTCAGCATCTTCAATTTCATGTTGTATTTTACGATATTTAGCCAAATTGATAGCAGCAATCTCTTCAGCTTCTTCAACTTGTCGTTTGTATGTTTTAATTTTACCTTGAAGTTTTTCGACTAATTCTTGCATACGATCATGACTCTTTTTGTCCTCTTCAGCCTAGAAATACACAGGCGCATTAAGCTCATATTAATAATTTTAATTCTATATCTGAATACTGAATTATTGGCTCAAGTAAAAACCAATTATCTGTAAAACTTTCAAACGTTAATGTCAACCTGTCTCAATGAAGAAATAGTAGGTGATTCGACCACCAATTCGTAGAAAAATCTCACCAATTGTTGGATTCCTTTATTCTATAGTTTACATGATGGACTAATATTAGTTAGATAATCATTTAATACGTGAAAGCACCAGATGGAGGATGTTTCATTATTGTGTAGGACTCCTCAGAAGTGTAAATCCACGATCGCACAATCAGGGATCAAAACTAGGTCTCATAAGTTTCACGACGAGAGCTTTGATACCAGACTACTCAATCAGTATCCAATGGTTTACACCGCTGACTCTAATTCAAATTATTCTGCAGTAAGAATTATCTTCATTTTCACTTTATTTACAGGATAAATTACTCTGCCTTCACATGAACTAGCTAAATGTATTTATATGGCATAGGTTTATTTGCCTACCTATAACTAACTTACCTGTAGACTGATCTCTTTCATTCGTCGATCAACTTTTCTTAAATTCTTCTGTGTTTCACCATGTCTACGTTGTTCTGCTTCCAATTCTGTTTCTAATTCACGTACACGTTGTTCTAATTTACCCATTGCTTTGCGACCATTTTTCATGGCACCTGATTCACTGTCTTCCAAACGAGCCATCAGTTCTTTAACCTTGTTTAGAGAAAAATGCAAGTAATTAATTCGAATCAAAGTAAATACGAAATTATTATTATTATTATTATTATTATTATTATTATTATTATGATCATTGTTTAAAACTAATTTAGATCACAAGATCGCTAAAGGAATAATACAAATCTTTATGAATGATATAATTCATTGAACTAGTATATATCTGAACCCAGTAACTTAATGGAAAGGTCAAATGAAAAGTGGCAGGCCAAAGAACATATTGCGCTGGAAATGAAAGGCACTTGAGAACAATTGGAAATCAGAGCCCAGGGTAGAGAGTAGGATGAAGTAT